GGCAGGAATCGTCAGCTGCGTCGCGCGGAGATGTTCACCCTCTCGTCCAGACTGCAAATGAATCGCGCATGCGGGAAGCCGCCGCTGGCTGATCCTGCCCTGGCTTACATTCAGGGCGGGATGTAAATGTAGGGCGTTTTTTACTCACTACATCGCATTGGTCAGTGCGCGAAACTGGGCACAGTGCGCAGTTTGACTAGGCTACTAATCTTATGTTGCCTGGGGCTGTGTGGCATGCAAAATTACTTGTAGATCAATGACTGTCAACACAGTAACATGCAATTCCACGCTGAAGGAGAGGACGCATCGGTTGACTTAAAAGATTAGAGGTATTTTCGGAAGGTTGAAAGAATGTAATATGAGCAAAACATTTTAGTGAATAGGCGATTCATAACATTTGAATCGATATTCTGACCGATGCATGCTACCTACATTTTGTTTGGGGTCCGCGGACCGATGCACTTGTATCTTAGACATTTGAATCGGGGACCGATGCATATCGGTGAATCATTACATCCCTAGTAGAGAGCATACTTGATTACTCTATTGGTATCAGTGCAGGTAGGAAGAGCACTTCACAACACTATAGATACAAGGCAATCAATACCTCATTTACAGTAAGCATGTTCATTCTTGTTTCTTTGTCTAGCCTTTGTCTCTTCACAACAAGTCACACATTCTGATATACAGTTCAATTTACACACTTCATATACTTGTCAAACCTTTTTTTTTCTTCTATAAAAGCAATGTTTCCCAATCAAGCTAATCGTGCACAATTCAAGATTGAGTTCATATGTACAGTTGAAGTTGAAGAGGGACTAAACACCTCCCTCTGCAACTGGATCCTGGACTTCCTGATGGGCCGCCCCCAGGTGGTAACAACACATCTGCCACACTGATCCTCAACACGGGGCCCCCTCAGGGGTGCGTGCTCAGTCCCCTCCTGTACTCCCTGTTCACCCATGACTGCATGGCCAGGCACGACTCCAACACCATCATTAAGTTTGCCGACGACACAACAGTGGTAGGCCTGATCACCGACAACGATGAGACAGCCTATAGGGAGGAGGTCCGAGACCTGGCCGTGTGGTGCCAGGATAACAACCTCTCCCTCAACGTGACCAAGACAAAGGAGATGATTGTGGACTACAGGAAAAAAAAGAGGACTAAGCACGCCCCCATTCTCATCGACGGGGCTGTAGTGGAACAGGTTTAGAGCTTCAAGTTCCTTGGTGTCCACATCACCAACAAACTATCATGGTCCAAACACACCAAGACAGCCATGAAGAGGGCACGACAAAACCTATTCCCCCTCAGGAGACTGAAAAGATTTGGCATGGGTCCTCAGATCCTCAAAAATCTCTACAGCTGCACCATCGAGAGCATCCTGACTGGTTGCATCACCGCCTGGTATGGCAACTGCTCGGCCTCCGACTGCAAGGCACTACAGAGGGTAGTGCGTACGGCCCAGTACATCACTGGGGTCAAGCTTCCTGCCATCCAGGACCTCTATACCAGGCGGTGTCAGAGGAAGGCCCTCAAAATTGTCAAAGACTCCAGCCACTCTAGTCATAGACTGTTCTCTCTGCTACCGCACGGCAAGCGGTACCGGAGTGCCAAGTCTAAGTCCAAAAGACTTCTCAACAGCTTCTACCCCCAGGCCATAAGACTCCTGAACAGCTAATCATGGCTACCAAGACTATTTGCACTGCCCCCCCCACCCCCACCCCCCACCACATATTTTTATGCTGCTGCTACTCTGTTAATTATTTATGCATAGTCACTTTAACTCTACCCACATGTACATATTACTTCAACTACCTCAACTAGCCGGTGCCCCCGCACATTGACTCTGCACCGGTACCCCACTGTATATATAGCCTCCCTACTGTTATTTTATTTTACTTCTGCTCTTTTTTTCTCAACACTTTTTTTATTTTATTTACATTTGTTATTTTAAAAAATGCACTGTTGGTTAAGGGCTGTAAGTAAGCATTTCACTGTAATGTCTGCACTTGTTGTATTCGGCGCAAGTGGCCAATACAATGTGATTTGATTTGATTTGACTTAGGTTGGAGTCATTAAAACTTGTTTTTCAACCACTCCACAAATGTGTTGTTAACAAACTATAGTTTTGGCAAGTCGGTTAGGACATCTACTTTGTGCATGACACAAGTAATTTTTCCAACAATTGTTTACAGACAGATTATTTCACTTATAATTGACTGAATCATAATTCCAGTAGGTCAGAAGTTTACATACACTAAATTGACTGTGTCTTTAAACAGCTTGGAAAATTCCAGAAAATGATGTCATGGCTTTAGAAGCTTCTGATAGGCTAATTGACATCATTTGAGTCAAATGGAGGTGTACCTGTGGATGTATTTCAAGGCATACCTTCATACTCAGTGCCTCTTTGCTTGACATCATGGGAAAATCAAAAGAAATCACCCAAGACCTCAGAAAAAAAAATTGTAGACCTCCACAAGTATGGTTCATCCTTAGGAGCAATTTCCAAACGCCTGAAGGTACCACGTTCATCTGTACACACAATAGTACGCGAGTATAAACACCATGGGACCACGCAGCCGTCATACCGCTCAGGAAGGCGACGCGTTCTGTCTCCTAGAGATGAACGTACTTTGATGCGAAAAGTGCAAATCAATCCCAGAACAACAGCAAAGGACCTTGTGAAGATGCTGGAGGAAACAGGTACAAAAGTATCTATATCCACAGTAAAACAAGTCCTATATCAACATAACCTGAAAGGCCGCTCAACAAGGAAGAAGCCACTGCTCCAAAACCACCATAAAAAGCCAGACTACAGTTTGCAACTGCACATGGGGACAAAGAACGTACTTTTTCGAGAAATGTCCTCTGGTCTGATGAAAAAAAATAGAACAGTTTGGCCATAATGACCATCGTTATGTTTGGAGGAAAAAGGGGGTTGCTTGCAAGCCGATGAACACCACCCGAACCGTGAAGCACGGGGATGGCAGCATCATGCTGTGGGGGTGCTTTGCTGCAGGAGGGACTGGTGCACTTCACAAAATAGATGGCATCATGAGGAAGGAAAATTATGTGGATATATTGAAGCAACACCTCAAGACATAATTCAGGAAGTTAAAGCTGGTCTTCCAAATGGACAACGACCCCAAGCATACTTCCAAAGTTGTGGCAAATTGGCTTAAGGACAACAAAGTCAAGGTATTGAAGTGGCCATCATAAAGCCCTGACCTCAATCCTATAGAAAATGTGTGGGCAGAACTGAAAAAGCGTGTGCGAGCAAGGAGGCCTACAAACCTGACTCAGTTAAACCAGCTCTGTCAGGAGGAATGGGCCAACATTCACTCAACTTATTGTGGGAAGCTTGTGGAAGGCTACCTGAAACATTGGACCCAAGTTAAACAATTTAAAGGCAATGCTACCAAATACTAATTGAGTGTATGTAAACTTCTGACCCACTGGGAATGTGATGAAAGAAATAAAAGCTGAAATAAATAATTCTCTCTACTATTATTCTGACATTTCACATTCTTAAAATAAAGTGGTGATCCTAACTGACCTAAAACAGGGAATTTGTACTAGGATTAAATGTCAGGAATTGTGAAAAACTGAGTTTAAATGTATTTGGCTAAGGTGTATGGAAACTTCTGACTTCAACTGTATATTTACAAAATATTAGAGCACCACCTTGTGGTGAAATGGGTGTATTAACGCATCAGGTAGTGGCTCAAACTTACTCAACAAAATTAGTATCAAATGAATAATTTTATTGCATCACTTCATTTGATCATTTCAGCCCAGGGACAGCCATACAGGGACAAGAAAGATCAGTAACAGACAGGTAAATATGCAGGTAGAAAATACAGGTAAAAGTAATCGAATTCTGACCAAAAAACATTTCTGAAGCTAATGTACACACTACTTTTGAAGAATCTACATACAGTACCAGTCAAAAGTTTGGACACACCTACTCATTCAAGGGTTTCTCTTTATTTTTCTACATTGTAGAATAATAGTGAAGACATCAAAACTATGAAATAACACATATGGAATCATGTAGTAACCAAAAAAGTGTTAAACAAATCAAAATATATTTTATATTTGAGATTATTCAAAGTAGCCACCCTTTGCCTTGATGACAGCTTTGCACACTCTTGGCATTCTCTCAACCAGCTTCATGAGGAATGCTTTTCCAACAGTCTTGAAGGTGTTCCCACATATGCTGAGCACTTGTTGACTGGTACTGTATGTTAAAGACTGTTTATTAAAAGTAGATGAAATCATTGACTGAATAGTTAAGCTACTGGATGATATCTTAGACCTAAAGGACAGAGAAGGATTCTGGAACTTTAGGACAACCAACCACACTCAAGAAACACAAAGAAGTTCAAGAACATTATTCAAGGGAATGCAGTTGAAGGCAAGAATGAGAGAACCTAAAATACACTACAAAGAAAAAAAGTTGATTATAACCCATTGTATATCACAACTTTACTCTTCAGAATATTGCAGCAGAATGTAAACACAGATGTTTGTTTACATGGTTTATGGATGCTATTCCCAGTATAGAATAGGGAATAACAGACTAATAAATGTATTTGAATACAGTCAGGGATGTTGTATGTTTACAAAGCGAGCCACATCATTTAGTCTCTATCAACCTTTAACCATCTGTTATAATTAAATATGGACAAATAAACACGTATAACTCTACCACAGAGTTAAATTAAGATAAGTCATGAATGTTCTTAATTTGCAGAAAACAAATAAAGTTCATTTAAACCATACAGTATAATACACAGATCCCTGTTTTACAATATGGCTTTTAAATTTTTCGGTCTCTTCCTCCATCCAAATTACATCATTCAATGTACAATTCACAGTTCAAATGTACATTATAACCATCTTGTGCTCTTCAAAGTATTTTTCACATGAAATGCATTTTCTCACATTTAGGGCCAGGAGTTTTTCCTGAGCATGATCTCATCACAACAGGAAAAACTCCTGGCCCTACTCATTTTAAATAGAAAAAGTATAACCTATAGGTTTTTCCAAATGACTGGGTTCCTTCTGTTCAGGTCAGGCTACCACATAAACCTCTGTACAGCCGGACTATTTGGCCATTGAAAAGTCTTGTTGACGAAGATGTAGAGCGTGGCTGCGTTGACGGCTGTATATAGCAGGAACTCCAGCACCAGCCTGGTGAGGGTGGGCAGGGGCATGTGGAGGCGGTAGAGCAGGTACGGAACAATAAAGTACCTGAACTCTAGCAGCTTCTGAGGCACTGTGGCCGCCAGCAGACACACCAGGAACGCCAGGCTCCAGAACAGAGACCGGGACTTCAGAGTGTCCATGAAGTTCCACGCTGCAAACACGTATGCCGGGATGAGGGCAAAACGCACCGCCTCGTGCTTCTGGAAAATCCTCTTCCACACGTAGAAGGGGAAGTGTCTGTTGTCGGCCAGGAGGTACTTGTGGACGAAGGTGAACTTCCACACTAGGAGCAGGCAGAGTCCTGTAACCAGTAAGTAGAGCAGTGGCTGCTTCTTGAGGGTCTGGAGGAAGCGGAGAGCTCGGTGGTAGCACAGCGACGTGGGGATGGAGAAGAAGAGGGCAAAGGAGAAGAAGTAGAAGAGCTGAGGGAAGTTGAGACAGGCCTCGTGACTGGTTCTGTCCCCGACTACGATCCCATCATTCAACACGATGAACACGATAAAACCCACGGCAACAAGAATGTACGGCCACACCACTAGCATCACAGCCTTCATGTGATTGGCTGTGGTCAGAAATTCCAACAGGAAACGCATCACTCTCTTCACCCCGCTTACGGAGAAAGGTATCTGACAGGGCGACTTGTCGTCCTTCTTCTTCGACTGTTCCGTCCTCCAGGTTTCGTCCATCTTGTTGGCCACCACCGTGCCGGCGCAGAACACCACCCAGATTATGTTGGTCTGGCGGAAGAATATGGCGAAGACGCCGAGGAGTGCCGAGGCTTTGTGACAGCCGTACAGGGTCATGAGGTACGTGAAGAGGATGAAGAAAGTAGATCCGGCATCTGTGTAGTAGAGGAAGTTGAAGAAGTAGAGCACAGGGAAGGTGGACAGGGACAGGGCTGAGAGAACTCTGCGGGAGGCAGTCTTAGTCTGAAAGAGAAACCATGGTTGTTATGACTAACAAAAGGAATGCAATTGAAGCTTTAAAGGCATTCAATCATTTTTTCAAGGTCTTTTCATTTATAGCAACATTATTTGAGGTAGGTGAGTAAAAGTTGGACTGGAGCAAAAGCCTGCACAGTGCACACACTGCAGCTTTCCAGAACAGGAGCTGGCCACCCTTGGGGATGTTTTAAATGTAATAACATTAAATAACATTATTACCTTCTCTTTAAGGTGGAGCTTGCAGATGATAAGATAGAGCAGGTAGAGGATGCCACAGTTGAAGAGGAGGTTGATGAAGCGCAGCATCGCTGTAGAACACACTACCTTCCCTGAGAGGTCCACTAGCCACACTACTGGCTTGATCACACCTACTGACGCCAGGTACAGGCCAGGAAGCGTGGTGATCATTGGGTCCCACTGGAACAACAAAGAGAAAGGAAAAATATCCCATTAAAGAGCCTCTACTACAGCATTGAACTTAAAAGGGTTATTGTTATTCAAGCTAGAGACAGATGCCAAATGGTTGATACATATAGGGCTATATACCACTGCAGAAGTACAATGCTTTTCAGGATTCAGGCATATTATCCACTATAATGACTAGCGAGAGTCTGATCTGTCTGTGTTCATCGTCACAGATGGCTTAGTTAAGGGTTAAAAGGTCTAGCTAGCAATCTGTCACATTATTCCAAGGACAAGCGTTAATCCGACAAGCAACAATGTAACAAAATCAAGGAAATGACAATGACATAGCAAAACGATACCTCGTTGAATTTCCCGTAGCAGTATTTCTGAGCTTGTCGGACGTGAAATATTTCGTCCATGTAGGGCTCCCTTTGCTCCCGAGTTATTTTGGAGAACAGGAGACATGAAACCAAAAAGTTGGTGCTGCAGAGAGCAGTGAAAATGTACCCTTCGAATTTCTCCATCTTCACCTACGAATTCCGAACTAACGCGGAAATCAATCTAAAATTAGATACTTATATATGGTGTACACTACATACGACTGTATATTTATTGAAATAACATTACAATAAATATACAGATCTTTCCATTTAGCTAAAACGAAAACGGAAGAGTTTAGATTTTTTGACAGCTTGCTGGTCCGTCAGTGAAAGGTAGTCCGTACGGAAGCTGTTTTAAAATTCTGAGTTCCTATCAGTATCATTTCACAAATTATTGAATTGCTTCTCTGTTGTACAATCATTTTAAAAATGCGAGCATATATCTATTATATTTTATTTCATAATATGTATTGACAATTTATAGGTACAGCATAAATATTTATTCTCGTGTAAAACCGGAACCTTTCAGATTATTTGTGTTACTTTGTTTTTGTTCCTTCTGTATTTCATTTTTTTAACCACGTGAGATGGTCTAACAGAAATGTTCGAGTGTTTTTTATCCACAAATTAGTTTTTCTTCAGCTATGTATTCAACTCAGGAATTGGAACTCTTTCCTGATCGTACTGTAACTCAGTTGCTATTCAAAGATGTCAAAAACGCCGCAGAATTGAGGAAAAATGCCATGGAAGGAAAGATTAATGGTGCCTTGATAAACCCGTCTATGGTGAGACAATGTTGCTAGCTAGTTAGACATGTTGGTTTGATATAATGTATGAATGCTTGACTGAAGTTGATGCAATGTTCCACAAACTGATGATTTGAAATGTTTGCAGATAGTGAACCCGTTCCAAGTGTTAGTGGCAGCAAACAAGGCAGTTCATTTACATAGAACTGGAAAAATGAAGACAAGGAGCTTATATTCCGAAATCATCTACAACCTTTCACCCACTAATAATGTAAGTAGGCTCTAAAAGTATCACACACACATTGACACTTCTTTCAAAGTAATATCCCATCCCATTGTCTTTTACACATATTTTCCTTTAGATTTCAGAGGCCTTCAAGAGGTTTGGGATGTCAGACAGTGACAGTGCTGTTCTCATAGTTCTGGTCCATTGCAAAGAGGAGACGCAGCACATGAGTGACATCATTGCCAAGGTGGATGGACAACAGATCCCAGTTGAAGATGTCTCCATGTTGACCGACCCTGCTAAGATCAAAAAGGTTGGTCTTGTTTTTCTTTGTCAGTCTTGTTCTTCCTGGAGTGTTGGGCACACACACACACAAATATACATGCATTGCCTTCAGAAAGTTTTCAGACCCCTTGACTTTTTCCACATTTTGTTACATTACAGCCTGTATTAAATAAATAAAAATCCTCAGCAATCTACACACAATACCCCATATTTACATAAGTATTCAGACCCTTTGCTATGAGACTCGAAATTGAGCTCAGGTACATCCTGTTTCCATTGATCATCCTTGAGCTGTTTCTACAACTTGATTGGAGTCCACCTGTGGTAAATTCAGTTGATTGGACATGATTTGGAAAGGTACACACCTGTCTATATAAGGTCCCACATTTGACAGTGCATGTCAGAGCAAAAACCAAGCTCCGAGACAGGATTGTGTCGAGGCACAGATCTGGGGAAGGGTACCAAAAAATGTATGCAGCATTGATGGTCCCCAAGAACACAGTGGCCTCCATCATTCTTAAATGGAAGAAGTTTAGAACCACCAAGACTCTTCCTAGAGCTGGCCGCCCGGCCAAACTGAGCAATCGGGGGAAAAGGGACTTGGTCAGGGAGGTGACCAAGAACCCGATGGCTCCAGAGTTCCTTTGTGGAGATGGGAGAACCTTCCAGAAGGACAACGATCTCTGCAGCACTCCACCAATCAGGCCTTTATGGTAGAGTGGCGAGACTGAAGCCACTCCTCAGTACAAGGCATATGACAGCCCGCTTGGAGTTTGCCAAAGGCACCTAAATGACTCTCAGACCATGAGAAACAAGATTCTCTGGTCTGATGAAACCAACATGGAACTCTTTGGCCTGAATGCGAAGCGTCACGTCTGGAGGAAACCTGGCAATGTCCCTACGGCGAAGCATGGTGGTGGCAGCATTATGCTGTGGGGATGTTTTTCAGCGGCAGGGACTGCGAGACTAGTCAGGATCGAGGGAAAGATGAACGGAGCAGAGTACAGAGAGATCCTTGATGAAAACCTGCTCCAGAGGGCTCAGGACCTCAGACTGGGGCGAAGGTTCACCTTCCAACAGGGCAACGCAGGAGCGGCTTCGGGACAAGTCTCTGAATGTCCTTGAGTAGCCCAGCCTGAGCCCGGACTTGAACCCGATCGAACATCTCTGGAGAGACCTGAAAATAGCTGTGCAGCGACGCTCCCCATCCAACCTGACAGAGCTTGAGAAGATCTGCAGAGAAGAATGGGAGAAACTCCCCAAATACAGGTGTGCCAAGCTTGTAGCGTCATACCCAAGAAGACTCTCGGCTGTAATCGCTGCCAAAGGTGCTTCAACAAAGTATTGAGTAAAGGGTCTGAATACTTACAGTGGGGAAAAAAAGTATTTAGTCAGCCACCAATTGTGCAAGTTCTCGCACTTAAAAAGATGAGAGGCCTGTAATTTTCATCATAGGTACACGTCAACTATGACAGACAAAATGAGAAAAAAAATTCCAGAAAATCACATTGTAGGATTTTTAATGAATTTATTTGCAAATTATGGTGGAAAATAAGTATTTGGTCAATAACAAAAGTTTCTCAATACTTTGTTATATACCCTCTGTTGGCAATGACACAGGTCAAACGTTTTCTGTAAGTCCTCACAAGGTTTTCACACACTGTTGCTGGTATTTTGGCCCATTCCTCCATGCAGATCTCCTCTAGAGCAGTGATGTTTTGGGGCTGTCGCTGGGCAACACAGACTTTCAACTCCCTCCAAAGATTTTCTATGGGGTTGAGACCTGGAGACTGGCTAGGCCACACCAGGACCTTGAAATGCTTCTTACGAAGCCACTCCTGCGTTGCCCGGGCGGTGTGTTTGGGATCATTGTCATGCTGAAAGACCCAGCCACGTTTCATCTTCAATGCCCTTGCTGATGGAAGGAGGTTTTCACTCAAAATCTCACGATACATGGCCCCATTCATTCTTTCCTTTACACGGATCAGTCGTCCTGGTCCCTTTGCAGAAAAACAGCCCCAAAGCATGATGTTTCCAACCCCATGCTTCACAGTAGGTATGGTGTTCTTTGGATGCAACTCAGCATTCTTTGTCCTCCAAACACGACGAGTTGAGTTTTTACCAAAAAGTTATATTCTGGTTTCTTCTGACCATATGACATTCTCCCAATCCTCTTCTGGATCATCCAAATGCACTCTAGCAAACTTCAGACGGGCCTGGACATGTACTGGCTTAAGCAGGGGGACACGTCTGGCACTGCAGGATTTGAGTCCCTGGCGGTGTAGTGTGTTACTGATGGTAGGCTTTGTTACTTTGGTCCCAGCTCTCTGCAGGTCATTCACTAGGTCCCCCCGTGTGGTTCTGGGATTTTTGCTCACCGTTGTTGTGATCATTTTGACCCCACGGGGTGAGATCTTGCGTGGAGCCCCAGATCGAGGGAGATTATCAGTGGTCTTGTATGTCTTCCATTTCCTAATAATTGCTCCCACAGTTGATTTCTTCAAACCAAGCTGCTTACCTATTGCAGATTCAGTCTTCCCAGCCTGGTGCAGGTCTACAATTTTGTTTCTGGTGTCCTTTGACAGCTCTTTGGTCTTGGCCATAGTGGAGTTTGGAGTGTGACTGTTTGAGGTTGTGGACAGGTATCTTTTATACTGATAACAAGTTCAAACAGGTGCCATTAATACAGGTAACGAGTGGAGGACAGAGGAGCCTCTTAAAGAAGAAGTTACAGGTCTGTGAGAGCCAGAAATCTTGTTTGTTTGTAGGTGACCAAATACTTATTTTCCACCATAATTTGCAAATAAATTCATTAGAAATCCTACAATGTGATTTTCAGGATTATTTTTTCTCAATTTGTCTGTCATAGTTGATGTGTACCTATGATGAAAATTACAGGCCTCTCTCATCTTTTTAAGTGGGAGAACTTGCACAATTGGTGGCTGACTAAATACTTTTTTTCCCACTATACGTAAATGTGATATTTCTGGGGGTTTTAAAATATAAATGAGCAAACATTTCTAAAACCTGTTTCTGTTTTGTCATTATTGGGTATTGTGTGTAGATTGATGAGGGAAAAAAACAATTTAATCAATTTTAGAATAATGCTGTAACATTAAAACAGAAGCTCATGCCTTGCTTTACTGTAGGTTACACAACAACATTAGGAATTATATTTTTCGTCAACTGCCAAGCCATAATAAACATTTTAATGTTCTAGATGAAAATAATAAATTGTGCGATTCTATCAGGTAACAATAATGTAAATGTCTGCACCAAAGCCTGCCACCTTATCTTCCAACGGAGACGTTTCTTTTTAAGGATCTAAATGTCCTTTTATCTACTGCATCTGCATACATGTTTATAGATTACGTAATATATAATAACTGATACCAATAATGTATAGATGATGTAATGTATTATGACTCCAAATGAAATATTGTACCATGTTTGACTATGACTGCTTTTAGTGTCTCAACTCTCTTTGACTAGTCCACAATGTGGTTTTTAAAATATGTATTTTGTACTGTCAACTATTGTATCATTGTGGAGTGACACTTTAATGAATGTTTCTAACTCTAACTCAACATGCTCGTGTTTTTTTTTTCTCCAGCTGTACAAAACCACACCCCAGGAGGATATGTGTCTACTGGATGCTGTTGTCTGCAGGATGGCAACCAAAGATGTCATGTAGCTCAGCAAGAAGACATGGCAGCAAATGGAACCATTCATGTTATATCATTTTTTGTTGTTGAGCTTTTCATATTGATGTTTGTTGCACAATTACATTTGACATTTTAGTCATTTAGCAGACACTCTTATCCAGAGCGAATTACAGTTAGCGAGTGCATACATTTTCATACTTTTGTCATAAAACAAATGTTTTCCTCCTTGAATATGTTAATAAACATGTTTTTTTACATGACTGTTCATTTACACATCAGCAATGTTGAGTCTGGTTAGAAAATGACAGATGTGTAAAAAGTGGGAGGACCAAAATGGGCTAGTGTCTATAGCTAGGTTCCCATCCAATTGGCTACAGATTTTCATGCAAATATTCTAAAATCTGCATAAAACACATTTCCCCACCAGAGATGTTTTATCAAATCAAATTGACTTGTTGTGGATAAAAGGCTGAGCGTGATGATGTAGTGCACATAAAAATTACTTTTGCGTTTAAAGTCCCATGTACCGAATAAAATACATGTAAATGGTTTGCCATCGCATTTTCAACTCAACTGATGGTTTTGTCACACAAAATTGCGTTATATAGCGAATGTGCCCACCATGGTGCCTTGGCATGTGCGCTCTAGCCCACAGCTCGCAGATACAGTGCGGGTATTGCCTACATGATGAGATTATTCTGGACAAATGAGCAAAATTATTTGTCAGATGGCAGCCAAGCATCAATCATCATGTCACCAGAATAAGACCCTCGATATTTATTGGAAAGGAGCATCAATCTCATCACCGTGCACTTTCACAACCCTGTGAAGTTCATCATAATTGATTTCATCTGTAGCCTAACACCTCGATCACACCGACAGTGTTTATTCATTTTGGTACACCAGAAATAAATTCATTTCCAATGGAACGCTGCATTTGCCTTACAGCATTGTGTTGCAGAGGCAGTTGCAGTCCGTTCTGTGTGGTGCATACGTTGGATTTATCGTACGTATGCGTCAAACTGTATGGGTAGACAGCTTGACAGAAATGGTAGCAGAAGGTGAATGACGCTATAGGTGTGATCGAGGCGTCTAACCAGCGTTCCATTGGAAATGAATATACACTGCTCAAAAAAATTAAACACTTAAACAACACAATGTAACTCCAAGTCAATCACACTTCTGTGAAATCAAACTGTCCACTTAGGAGGCAACACTGATATACAATACATTTCACATGCTGTTGTGCAAATGGAATAGACAACAGGTGGAAATTATAGGCAATTAGCAAGACACCCCCAATAAAGAAGTGGTTCTGCAGGTGATGACCACAGACCACTTCTCAGTTCCTATGCTTCCTGGCTGATGTTTTGGTCACTTTTGAATGCTGGCGGTGCTTTCACTCTAGTGGTAGCATGAGACGGAGTCTACAACCCACACAAGTGGCTCAAGTAGTGCAGCTCATCCAGGATGGCACATCAATGCGAGCTGTGGCAAGAAGGTTTGCTGTGTCTGTCAGCGTAGTGTCCAGAGCATGGAGGCACTACCAGGAGACAGGCCAGTACATCAGGAGACGTGGAGGAGACCGTAGGAGGGCAACAACCCAGCAGCAGGACCGCTACCTCCGCCTTTGTGCAAGGAGGAGCAGGAGGAGCACTGCCAGAGCCCTGCAAAATGACCTCCAGCAGGCCACAAATGTGCATGTGTCTGCTCAAACGGTCAGAAACAGACTCCATGAGGGTGGTATGAGGGCCCGACGTCCACAGGTGGGGGTTGTGCTTACAGCCCAACACCGTGCAGGACGTTTGGCATTTGCCAGAGAACACCAAGATTGGCAAATTCGCCACTGGCGCCCTGTGCTCTTCACAGATGAAAGCAGGTTCACACTGAGCACATGACAGACGTGACAGAGTCTGGAGACGCCGTGGAGAACATTCTGCTGCCTGCAGCATCCTCCAGCATGACCGGTTTGGCGGTGGGTCAGTCATGGTGTGGGGTGGCATTTCTTTGGGGGGCCGCACAGCCCTCCATGTGCTCGCCAGAGGTAGCCTGACTGCCATTAGGTACCGAGATGAGATCCTCAGACCCCTTGTGAGACCATATGCTGGTGCGGTTGGCCCTGGGTTCCTCCTAATGCAAGACAATGCTAGACCTCATGTGGCTGGAGTGTGTCAGCAGTTCCTGCAAGAGGAAGGCATTGATGCTATGGACCGCCCGTTCCCCAGACCTGAATCCAATTAAGCACATCTGGGACATCATGTCTCGCTCCATCCACCAACGCCACGTTGCACCACAGACTGTCCAGGAGTTGGCGGATGCTTTAGTCCAGGTCTGGGAGGAGATCCCTCAGGAGACCATGCGCCACCTCATCAGGAGCATGCCCAGGCGTTGTAGGGAGGTCATACAGGCACGTGGAGGCCACACACACTACTGAGCCTCATTTTGACTTGTTTTAAGGACATTACATCAAAGTTGGATCAGCCTGTAGTGTGGTTTTCCACTTTAATTTTGAGGGTGACTCCAAATCCAGACCTCCATGGGCTGATACATTTGATTTCCATTGATAATTTTTGTGTGATTTTGTTGTCAGCACATTCAACTATGTAAAGAAAAAAGTATTTAATAAGAGTATTTCATTTATTCAGATCTAGGATGTGTTGTTTAAGTGTTCCCTTTATTTTTTTGAGCAGTGTACTTCTGGTGTACCAAAATGCAATGATGCTGTTATGCCTCGATCACACCTACAGTGTCATTGCGCAAAATGGTACGCTGCATCATCTGGATATGTATGCAACAAAAGTTAAACATTCACCTTCTACTATCATTTCTGTCAAGCCGTCTGCACATACAGTTTGACGCATATGTTCGATAAATCTAACGTATGCACCACACAGAACCCACTGCAACTGCCTCTGCAACGCAATGCTGCAAGGCAAACGCAGTGTTCCATTGGAAATGAATATACTTCTGGTTTACCAAAATGCAATGGCGCTGTCGGTGTGATCGAGGTGTAAGCCATGGCAGAGTGCCTCAAGACGGTTGAAAAACAAAGACATCCAAATTTACTACATAAAACATTGAGACAATAATGACATAAGTAGCCTATGCTTTGGTTATTTCTAGTTTTGAGATTATTTATCAAATATGGCTTACTGTACAGTATTGTCACGATCGTCGTAATGAGTGGACCAAGGCGCAGCGTGAAATGCGTACATCTTTTATTGAGTACTATACAATAACAAAACAACAAAACGAAACGTGAAGTCCTCGGTCATAAACACAAACCTACACGGAACAAGATCCCACAAATGACAAGTGCACAACAGGCTGCTTAAGTATGGTTCCCAATCAGAGACAACAAGACACAGCTGCCTCCGATTGGGAACCACCCCGGCCAACACAGAAACACACGATCTAGAAAAGAACACATAGAAAACAAAACATAGACACTACACATATAAACTAACACCCTGGCTCAACATATAAGAGTCCCCAGAGCCAGGGCGTGACACGTATGATGCAATGTATTTACAGTCAGTACATTTGATGAAAAACAGCTTGTCCTATTAAATACACAAATAATCCACCCCATTGTGTAACTAACTCGCTCTTGAAATAGCCCTTTCATTCATCACATTGATCCAGTGGGGAACAGTCCTGTCCTGTGTGTCCTGTCCTCTCTGCCGGCTTGGGAACTCAGAGGAAATGGTGCTCCTTGAGTTGCAGCAGTGTGACAGGCACTGTGGTACATCATCATTAATCAATGTTCTCATGTTCCTTCGTCACAGTTTAGGTTGGGTATTTATTAAATCCCCCTTTTGTCTTACAGGGATCTGTCGGTGTCACCACTCACCGACATTCTTTGTTTTGCAACTTGAATCATGCTGAAAATGTTTGAAGCTGATGTAACACTTACGAATCTTTGATGATACAGTTGTTATTGAGTTAACTCAAAGATAGCAAGGCATCTATGTCTTGTCCTGGGTCCATATATGCCACAGCACAATAATGATAATGATAATCATAGACATAACTACTGCAGCTGTCACAACTTCTTGTATGTACTTGGTCTGATATAGTCGTTTCTTCGCTGGTACCCTCTTATCATTTTGCCTTCTAGCACGAAGGGGCAGGATCCTAGTGACAAGAACACAAATGAATTATCAGAAACTATATCACAGAACTACTTTATAGAATATGATATATATATAAAAAATTATGCTGTGCATTTAATTACTCAAATACTGCAAATGCAAATATATAATCATAATTCTATTAAATATATCTGAACATACTGTACAATAGTTGTAATACCTCATATGAGCAGAATAGACATCAAACAACACAATCCCACCTTCTGGTAGAGTTCATCCTCTCCTCAAAATAAAAAACAATCACTTCAGTGTCTAAGTTCTTCATCTGGGATCCCTCGTGGTCCAGTATGATATGATTCCCCTCCAACCATCTACAGTCTGTCCAGTGTCTCCAGTCCCATAGCTGTGTGTGTTACAGAAGCCCCATTTCTACCTGGTGCTAACATGTGTCCTTTGTCCTGATTGTGCCCACATTTGTAGACAAGTGTAGACAATCAAAATACACATTGGAAACTGATTGTAATCAGCTATTTCTGGCCATGTCTAGACTTGACAGTTAATGCAGTTTTTGTATTCTGATAATGGAATTACAAACACATCATGCATCTACACCTACATTTAAATGTGTCTGCCTTGTCCACATTGTGTCTGGAATCGGATTCCCTTTTGCCGCGCTATATTCAAATGCCAGTAAGCATTGCGAACGGTGGCATAGGCAAAATATGAGGTGGCATAGGCAAAATTGTATAATAACAGAACAACATGGCAGTAGCCATTGTTATTATTTATTATAACCATCTATAACACTCTAGCCAAACAAAAATGTGTTTTTTTAAATATAAGACAGCTTGCTAGCATTTATGAGGCCAGCAAAGACATTCCTCACACGATACCCACTGAGCAAAAACTGTTTGAATCAACGTTGTTTCCACCTCCTTTCAACCCCAAAATGCAATGTGATGATGTTGAATCAACGTGAAAAACTGATTGGATTTGCAAAAAGTAATCAAAGTAAGGTAATTTCGTATTTGTTTTACCCAACTTTTAACCTAAATCCAATGATAGGGTGACATTTTTGTTTGATTTCACGTTGAATTCACGTTAGTTGACAACTCAACCAAATGTAAATCAAAACTAGACTTTGAACTGACGTCTGTGCCCAGTGGGTAGGAACGTATTTGCTCTACAATGTTATAGTAAAAAGTTGCCTCACTCCCAAAATACACGTTTCTGAAGACTTGCGGCGGGAATGCTGATGACATTGCACACTGTATGCACTTTAGGTAGCCTGATTGTATCCAGACTGAGGAGAAAGCCACACACAATGCGTCCCCGACCTCCTGAGGGGGTCAGCCTGATCTGAACACAATCAGACCTCAATGCGGACCTTTGTACATCTAGACGGCTGCTTTTATACAGGCAGCCCAGTTATGATATTATTTTCACTAATTAGTCTTTTGACCAATCAGGTCAGCTCTGAATAAGATCTGATATGAAAATATCTGATATGATTGGTCAAAAGACCAATTAGTAGGAAAAATATTGGGCTGCCTGTGTAAACGCAGCCAACTTGTTTTTTCAATGCAATCATTGTATTCTGATAGCAGAAGTCACATCTAAGTATTGAGTGTAGTTATGCCCTTTAACCACCTCAAGAGGTAGTCAGACACACATTCTATCTGGTCGTCCCTAGTTAACACAGCCACAAAGTCATATTTATGGCTAAACCTTGCCCATTTCTACAATTTACCTTCATACAATTAGAATTTCAACCTAAACCTAACCTTAACCCTAACCTTACCCACACTGCTAACGTTATGGCTAACCTTAAATTAAGACCAAAAAGCTCATTTTTGTAGCCAATTTTTACTTTGTGGCTGGGAAATCTGACTTTGTGGCTGTGTTAACTAGTGACGACCATTGTATCTGGATATCTTACAAGTGTCAACAGATATAGAGGGTGAAACCATTTAATTTTAATTCATCATTATAGCACCCAGTAAAATGATTGACAATTGACACCACTGACTCAAGGCATCAATAATTGTCACATGTTAAAATGACAGAACTTGATCAGATAGTAATTGGATCAGCTTGATCGGATAATGAAAACCACATGTTAGCACAAGGTGTAAACGAGGCTAGTGAGAAGGGGTGTTGCTGTCTGGAGATCAGGGTAGTGTGCCAAAACACTGAGACCTAGATCTCAAGCTCTAGGACATAACAATCATGATGTACAGTGCATTCGGAAAGTATTCAGACCCCTTGACTTTTTCCACATTTTGTTACATTGCAGCCTTATTCTAAAATTGATTAAATTATTTTTTCCCTCATCAATCTATACACAATACCCCATAATGACAAAGCAAAAACAGGTTTTTAGAAATGTTTGCTCATTTATATTCTAAAAAACCCAGAAATATTACATTTACGTAAGTATTCAGACCCTTTACTCAGTACTTTGTTGAAGCACCTTTGGCAGCGATTACAGCCTCAAGTCTTCTTGGGTATGACGATACAAGCTTGGCACACCTGTATTTGGGGAGTTTCTCCCATTCTTCTCTGCATATCCTCTATCAGGTTGGATGGGGAGCTGCACATCTTTTTTCAGGTCTCTCCAGAGATGTTCGATCGGGTTCAAGTCTGGGCTCTGGCTGGGCCACTCAAGGACATTCAGAGTCTTGTCCCGAAGCCACTCTTGCGTTGTCTTGGCTTTGTGCTTCGGGTTGTTGTCCTGTTGGAAGGTGAACATTCGCCCCAGTCTGAGGTCCTGAGCGCTCTGGAGCAGGTTTTCATCAAGGATCTCTCTGTACTTTGCTCTGTTCATCTTTCCCTAGATCCTGACTAGTTTCCCAGTCTCTGCCGCTGAAAAACATCCCCACAGCATGATGCTGCCACCACCATGCTTCACCGTAGGGATGGTGCCAGGTTTCCTCCAGACGTAACGCTTGGCATTCAGGCCAAAGAGTTCAATCTTGGTTTCATCAGACCAGAGAATATTGTTTCAAACCTTTTGGCAAACTCCAAGCGGCCTGTCATGTGCCTTGTACTGAGGAGTGGCTTCCGTCTGGCCACTCTACTATAAAGGCCTGATTGGTGGAGTGCAGCAGAGATGGTTGTCCTTCTGGAAGGTTCTCCCATCTCCAAAGAGCTCTGTCAGAGTGACGATCGGGTTCTTGGTCACCTCCTTGACCAAGGCCCTTCTCCCCCGATTGCTCAGTTTGGATGGGCCGCCAGCTCTAGGAGGAGTCTTGGTGGTTCCAAACTTCTTCCATTTAAGAATGATGGAGGCCACTGTGTTCTTGGGGACCTTCAATGCTGCAGAAATGTTTTGGTACCCTTCCCCAGATCTGTGTCTCGACACAATTCTGTCTCGGAGCTCTACGGACAATTCCTTCGACCTCGTGGCTTGGTTTTTGCTCTGACATGCGCTGTTAACTGTGGGACCTTATATAGACAGTTGTGTGCCTTTCCAAGTTATGTCCAATCAATTGAATTTACCACAGGTGGACTCCAATCAAGTTGTAGAAACATCTCAAGGATGATCAATGGAAACAGGATGCACCTCAGCTCAATTTTGAGTCTCATAGCAAAGGGTCTGAATACTTATGTAAATAAGGTATTTCTGTTTTTTATATTTAATAAATGTGCAAACATTTCTTAAAACCTGTTTTCGCTTTATCATTATAGGGTATTGTGTGTAGATTGATGAGGATTTGTTTTTATTTAATCCATTTTAGAATAAGGCTGTAAAGTAACAAAATGTGGAAGGGTCTGAATACTTTCCGAATGCACTGTAGGTGGGAGGTTATGGGCTACTCAGTTTATTTATTTGGTAACTCTGATTCACTGATAGCGTTACCTAGGAATGTGTGCTTCGTACATGCCTAATATACACCCCATCAAGTGATTGCTATGTAGTATGGACATGAGAATTTATGTATTTCGGTTTAACAAAGAGCACAGTTGTGGGAGTTGTTGACATTTCAATGATCAAACAGAGCATATGTTCCTGACATTGAATGCATTGCATAGTTTATTTGCAAAAAGATAATATCACAGTATAACAATTATTATTGAGAAAAATAATGCATGATTTGCCCCTAACTTTAGCTGGTTAGAGCGATGGTCATTCGTTCTTCTCTGTAATAGTCAATGTAGTAAAATAATAATGCATAATTTCTCCTAATTCAGACTGGTTGGAATAATCATTCTTTATTCTCTGTAGTAGTCACTGTAATAATAACTTTGTAAACATTCAATGGGGCAACGCACGAGGAGAACTTGAACAAATCGCCCAGGACTAAATACGCTGGAAAACTGTTGTCAGTGGCCTATGCTCCAAGAGTAGAAAAATACCTAAGCAAGTAAGTAACTAGACATTCAATCAGGGAAGTTAGTGGCACAGCTCATAGGGCAGGGTGCCTGGGAGGGACACAACACACCAGGCAGTTAGCAATGGTAGATGTTTGAACCTTTAAGTGCCTTATGGTACAAAACACATCAGTTAGCACAGGTAAAGAAGGTACATTTCACATATTTGTTGGCTTGGCTATGGTTCATTCCAGATGAAGACAAAGTTGTTCCTTCTTATGTCCTGATCTTTTAGGATTTATTTAAGTCTAGCCAATCTACTTCTCTGAGATGTACTGTACCTGCAAAAGGTGGAGCCAGTCCTGACTCAATGCTCTTGGTGTCCATGCCGACAGGCTTCTTCTCGATGAAACTTTTGTACATGGTGCAGGCTAATGAATCAAAGACAGGAAAATAAGGTAAACAAAATGGTCATACTGTATATCAACCCTTCAGTATATTGCCCCATGTGTATGTTCATGTACATCATTTAGTGGTGTATCGTAGTTGTAAAAAGCCCTGCCTGATATTGTCTTGGTGAAGTTTAACCAACAGGTGTTATGTACCTCCTTCTGGCTCTAATCCATATATCCTTGTCTTCTCGCAGCCAGCCAGTTTGATGGCAGCAGCCACCCCAGCCAGTAGACCTCCTCCTCCACAGCACACCACCACTACATCAGGCTGGGGCATCACCTCCAGCACCTCAAAACCTAAACTACCTAACAGAGAGAGAGTGGGGGAGGGAGAGAGGGGGCTGGGGTAGGAGGGGTGGGGGGGTAGTGAGAGAGCCAGACAGTGAGAGACAGACCAGCATTTTATTTTCCCTCAAAAAGCGGGAAAAGGCCTGCATAAAGCTGGTTGTGTTGCCTTGTTCAGCTGTTCTGTACCTGGCATGTCCTGCAATCAGGTCCAGGTCATCGTATGAGTGGAGGAACGTCATGTTTTCCTCCTGGACACAACGATTCACCCCGTTCATCAGACAGGTCGAAGGCGGGTGCACAGCAATTGTACTCAACAACTCACTGATATATTTGGTTATTTTCAGATGTGTAATTTTAGATGATACAATTAAAGACTGAAGCAGTCAATTGGAAACAAGAACCTTACTTGTATGAGTGTAGATTTGGATACAAGGGCTGTCTCTGGCATCACCCCTTTCCCCTTGGAGCCGTAGTGTTTAGAGGCATACGCAAAAGACTTCCCATAGTTCCCTGCAGACACGGTGACAAAATGAGCTCCTTTTGGTCTCCTGGCAAACTGGTTGGCCACTCCTCTTATCTTAAACGGACCTGGCAATTAACACAATGACAGAAACTGCTGTTATTGTATCACTCTCAATGTCCAACATCAACCATGTCCATCAATATATCTATTACAAAACAGCCTACATTATTAATTGAAACTTGTACATTAGTAATGTAAATGTGCCTGACTAAGGCATTTCATTCATACACAAACTCACCAGTTCTCTGCATGTTCTCCAGTTTGATGAGGATGTTACAGGGGATGTTGAGCGGTAGTGTTGTTTGGCACCATGGGATCATAGGAGTGTCGATGACTCCCAAAGGACTGGTCCTCACTGTCTCTCTGGCATCTCTTAGCAGATCCAAAGTGATGGCTTCCACTGATACTGGCACGTCCACCATGCTGGAAGACAACCACACAGTTGTATCAAATAGGTTCGAAACAGTCTTTTGTGGGATTATCCTAAAAACAGTCATTCATTTGCATAGACTTCGTGAGGATTATTCTTATATGACTTGCTTAGCTCCTTTCCACCAAAATAAACATTATATATTGTTGAATTATTCTGCTCTGTTAATACTTGCAAAAAAGGTTTAATGAAATTACGTAACACAAAAGTATCTCACCATTGACATGGTGGAACTGTTACTACAGATTTACAGATTTACAGATTTACACAATATATTCCACTTTCCCGGGTGTAGCAGTCAATATAATCAGAGACACAGTTGTATAATTCTAGTCCACGTACATTGATACTTTTGAAGAAATATGAAAATGTGTGGATTTTCAAGTTTTTTACCCAATTTACGGAGCAGAATTTCAACAGCTCCGTTATGTTTACAGTGTTACAGTTATTCTGGCACCCCGCAACACAACACAACACAAGTAAACCACGGTTGAAGGTAAAGCCAACGCGACTTGTTTCTAGTCGGACATTGTTTTGAGACGGACCGACTAAATGGCCGCGTCTATCCGAAAAAGTGAAGTTGTAACCTGAATTAGACAATTAAAGACATATTTTCGTGGCAAATAGTTGTGAAAATCATGGGTGTCGTGAGACATATCGTGTGCGCGATGTCTGGAGGAGTTGACAGCTCTGTAACGGCTTTGTTACTCCGAAGAAGAGGTGAGACATTCCTTCACTGGAGAACTCAACATTAGCCAGCTAGCTAAAAACTCCTTGAGACGATACAAGTAAACCTAAGGTTTTTTTAATGAGTAAACGGAATATCTGTCTTATTATTTTATATATAATGTTGCTTGTTTAATGTAAATATAACGTCTTCCCATTGATTTGTTTTATTGACAGGGTACCACGTTACTGGAGTGTTCATGAAGAACTGGGATTCCCTGGATGAGAAGGGGGTGTGTTCCTCCGAAAGGGACTGTGAAGATGCCTACAAAGTGTGCCAGGATCTGGACATACCCTTCCATCAAGTATCCTACGTCAAAGAGTACTGGCACGAAGTGTTCACGTAGGTAACCTCTTTAATTAGATGATTGTTAAATCTGTATAATTTGAATAGTTGTAGCCCGGCCAAGCAGACAGCTGCTCTCACCCAAATTGAAATATGTGAGTTATCGCGAGATTAGGCTGGTGTCACAAGGCTAGTTTTGTGGTGTGTTCATTGTCTTGCAAAAGAAACCGTTTACCATTTAAGAACCAAACAGAGCAAATGCAACGAAATTTGGAGGGACCTACCTGAATTTGTCCAATAGAAACGCTCGTTTTTGTTGCAAAACGTTTTCCGTTTGCAACAGAATCTGCTAAATGAATATACCCAAGATTGTTCTCTCTCAATGTCTGACCACTGTCTTCTTTCTTCAGCAATCTTTTGAAGGAATATGAGATGGGCAGGACACCAAATCCAGACATTCTGTGCAACAAACACATAAAATTCAACCACTTCTACAGTTATGCCATCAACAGCTTGGGTATGTAGCCTAATAATAATGTTCAGTATTATTAGTATGCTTAGTATTATATTATAAGAACTTCAAGTACCATTAAAGAAACTGAGCTTGTACAAAAAAAAGCAAATATTGGGTTGTTGCTGATTTCCCCCTAGGTGCTGATGCCATGGCGACAGGCCACTATGCCAGGACATCTCAGGAGGATGAGGATGTCTTCCAACAGAGACACGTGGCTCCTCCCCCTCAACATGTCTTCAGAGACCGCTTTGAGATCAGGAACCGTAAGAACAACTCCTCTCAACCTCTATCTGTGCTTTTCTCATACATTTACATTTTAGTCATTTAGCAGACGCTCTTATCCAGAGCGACTTACAGGAGCAATTAGGGTTAAGTGCCTTGCTCAAGGGCACATCGACAGATTTTTCACCTAGTCGGCTCGGGGATTAGAACCAGCGACCTTTCGGTTACTGGCACTATGCTCTTAACCACTAAGCTACCTGCCACATACCAATGTGTTGTTATTATTATCATGTCAATCTTACCTCTTTATAATAATACGTAGACTTTGGGCGCTTTCACATATCCCCTTATGATCCTGGAGCGTTTGGTACCATGATCTGCTCTATAAACCATATGTGAAACGCAAAAGAACCCTGGCTGAAACTAATCCTGGACCTGCGTGAGTAGCGGGTCCGAAATCCAGGATCAGAGTACCAAGTATTGTGACGCGGCAGCGTGAGTCGTGTGGAACTTTTTTGACTGTTGTAAAGAAGTTAGCTCACTAACGTCATGTAGAATGTGCGCCTTGCTAATCGCGCCCTGAAACGGTTATGTTCAGGTCTTGTGAAATCAAAACATATTCTGTAGAATTCTCAAAAACGGTCCAGGGTACCGAAGTAGGGTACCGAATTTCATATGTGAAATGCTTTTATTTGTAAGTCTGTAGACATTTGATATGTGTAGAGAAATTCAGGGAACTTGAATGAGTACAACCATTGGTTATATTTGATATAGGGACCTATATTATAGGACTGTCATTGGATTGGTGTCTCAGATATTTAACCCTTTGTTATCTCCGTTGAAGCGGTGAGGTTGTACCAGGGAGCGGACCGCTTTAAGGACCAGACATTCTTCCTCAGCCAGATGTCGCAGGATGCTTTGCGGCATACACTCTTTCCACTGTCGGGACTCACCAAAGACTACGTGAAGAAGATTGCAGCCGAGGCCGGCTTCCAACACGTCCTGAAGAAGAAAGAGGTAACTAACCAAACAGACAGACAGATACACTGCCCTCTGTATGTACTGTATTTGGACAGTGAAGCAAAACATTACAATTTGTCTCTGTACTCCAGCATTTTGGATTTGAGATCAAATGTTTCATATGAGGCGACAAGTACAAAATGTCAACTTTAATATGAGGGTATTTTCATACATATCGGTTTTACCGTTTAGAAATTAAAGCACTTTATGTATCTAGTCCCCCCAAGTCATAGATATTTGGACAAATTCACTTAGTGTATTAAAGTAGTTAAAAGTTTTGTATTTCGTCCCGTTTTTCCTTGTGCGCAATGACTACATCAAGCTTGTGACTACAAACTTGTTGGATGCATTTGCATTTTTTTTTGGTTGTGTTTCAGATTATGTTTTGCCCAATAGTAACTGAATGGTGAATATTGTATTGTCATTTTGAAGTTAATTTGATTGTAAATAAGAATGTTTCTGAACAAGGCAAGGCACTTAACCCTAATTGCTCCTGTAAGTCGCTCTGGATAAGAGCGTCTGCTAAATGACTTAAATGTTATTGCGGGTGTAGTGAAATGCTTGTATTCCTAGCTCCAACAGTGATCAACCAGGCAGCAAGCCAGCAGTGGCCTTTATTCCACATGGCACAAATAATCCAACTCATGGTAGAATACACACAATGTGAAGGAGATCGTGATGCATTTAGGAGGAGTTTGTACACTTCCTTGAGGCTGCACAAGTGCTCCAAGGGAGATGTGGCATTTTATATAAATGTGAGGATGGTTCTTCTAGCCCACGAACTTAGACTTGATTATGCAGCTTTTAAGAGAATAAGCAAAGTTCTAGGGATTCCTTCCTTGCGTCTCAGCTCATATTAGAGACATGACAGGAGAGTGAAGGTAAATAAAAAGGCAGAGTAGCCCATTATTGTCAGGTAACTTGCTGTCTATAAATAATGATATTTATTTGCTCCAGTAACTAGAAAGTGTTATTCAAAGAGTGGGAAAAATATAACTAGGCTATACAATGAGACTGTCACATACACTACCGTTCAAAAGTTTGGGGTCACTTAGAAATGTCCTTGTTTTTTAAAGAAAAGCAAAAAAATGTGTCCATTAAAATAACATCAAATTGATCAGAAATACAGTGTAGACATTGTTAATGTTGTAAATGTAAATGCTGATTTTTTTTATGGAATATCTACATAGGCGTACAGAGGCCCATTATCAGCAACCATCAGTCCTGTGTTCCAATGGCACGTTGTGTTTGCAAATCCAAGTTTATAATTTTAAAAGGCTAATTGATCATTAGAAAACCCTTTTGCAATTATGTTAGCACAGCTGAACACTGTTGTGCTGATTTAAAGAAGCAATAAAACTGGCCTTCTTGAGACTAGTTGAGTATCTGGAGCATCAGCACTTGTGGGTTCGATTACAGGCTCAAAATGGTCAGAAACAAATAACTTTCTTCTGAAACCCGTCAGTCTATTCTTGTTCTGAGAAATGAAGGCTATTCCATGCGAGAAATTGCCAAGAAATTGCCAAGAAACACGTATGTGTACTACTCCCTTCACAAAACAGCGCAAACTGGCTCTAACCAGAATAGAAAGAGGAGTGGGAGGCCCCGGTGCACAACTGAGCAAGAGGACAAATACATTCGAGTGTCTAGTTTGAGAAACAGGCGCCTCACAGGTCCTCAACTGGCAGCTTCCTTAAATAGTACCCGCAAAACACCAGTCTCAACATCAACAGTGAAGAGGTGACTCCGGGATGCTGACCTTCTAGGCAGAGTTGCAAAGAAAAAGCCATATCTCAGACTGACCAATAAAAAGAAAATATTAAGATGGGCAAAAGAACACAGACACTGGACAGAGGAAGATTGGAAAAAAGTGTTATGGACAGACAAATCAAAGTTTGAGGTGTTTGGATCACAAAGAAGAACATTTGTGAGACGCAGACCAAATAAAAAGATGCTGGAGGAGTGCGTGATGCCATCTGTCAAGCATGGTGGAGGCAATGTGATGGTCTGGGGGTGCTTTGGTGGTGGAACTTTTGAACCGTAGTGTATTCGGAAAGTATTATTACCACTTCACTTTTTTTCTCATTTTGTTACGTTACAGCCATATTCTAAAATTGATTAAATTAAAAAAATGTCCTCATCAATCTACACACAAGGTTTTTAGAAATGTTTGCAAATGTGTATATATATAAAAAATAAAAAACCGTAAATCACTTTTACATAAGTATTCAGACCCTTTACTCAGTACTTTGTTGAAGCACCTGTGACAGCGATTACAGCCTCATGTCTTCTTGTGTATGACGTTACAAGCTTGGCACACCTGTATTTGGGGAGTTTCTCCCATTCTACTCTGCAGATCTCCTCAAGCTCTGTCAGGTTGGATGGGGAGTGTCGCTGAAGAGCTATTTTCAGGTCTCTCCAGAGATGTTAGATCGGGTTCAAGTCTGGGTTCTGGCTGGGCCACTCAAGGACATTCAGGGACTTGTCCCGAAGCCACTCCTGCATTGTCTTGACTGTGTGCTTAGGGTCATTGTCCTGTTGGAAGGTGAACCTTCTCCCCAGTCTGAGGACCTGAGCGCTCTGGAGCAGGTTTTCATCAAGGATCTTTCAGTACTTTGCTCTGTTCATCTTTCCATCTATCCTGACTAGTCTCCTAGTCCCTGCTGCTGAAAAACATCCCCACAGCATGATGCTGCCACCACCATGCTCACCGTAGGGATGGTATTGGCCAGGTGATGAGCGCTGCCTGGTTTCCTCCAGACGTGACGCTTGGCATTCAGGCCAAAGAGTTCAATCTTGGTTTCATCAGACCAGAGAATCTTGTTTCTCATGGTCTGAGAGTACTTTAGGTGCCTTTTGGCAAACTCCAAGCGGGCTGTCTTGTGCCTTTTACTGTGGAGTGGTTTCCGTCTGGCCACTCTAACATAAAGGCCTGATTGGTGGAGTGCTGCAGAGATGGTTGTCCTTCTGGAAGATTCTACCATCTCCACAGAGGAACTCTGGAGCTCTGTCAGAGTGACCATCGGGTTCTTTGGTCACCTCCCTGACCAAGGCCCTTCTCCCCCGATTGCTCAGTTTGGCCGGGCGGCCAGCTCTAGGAAGAGTCTTGGTGGTTCCAAACTTCTTCAATTTAAGATTGATGGAGGCCACTGTGTTCTTAGGGACCTTCAATGCTGCAGAATTGTTTTGGTACCCTTCATTCTACACAATCCTGTCTCGGAGCTCTACGGACAATTCCTTCGACATCATGCCTTGGTTTAAATTAATGTTTTTCCTCATCAATCTACACATAATACCCTATAATGACAAAGCGAAAACAGGTTTTTAGACATTTTTGCAAATGTAATAAAAATAGTGGTGTGTGCCTTTCCACATTTCTTATTTTATTTTATTTATTTAACCTTTATTTAACTAGGCAAGTCAGTTAAGAACAAATTCTTATGTACAATGACGACCTACACTGGCCAAACCCGGACGACGCTGGGCCAACTGTGCGCCGCCCTATGGGACTCCCAATCACGGCCGGTTGTGATACAGCCTGGAATCGAACCAGGGGGTCTGTAGTGACGCCTCAAGCACTGAGATGCAATGCCTTAGAACGCTGCGCCACTCAGGAGCCCATAAATCATGTCCAATCAATTGAATTTACCACAGGTGGACTCCAATCAAGTTGTAAAAACATCTCAAGGATGATCAATGGAAACAGGATGCCCCTGAGCTCAATTTCGAGTCTCATAGCAAAGGGTCTGTATACTTATGTAAATAAGGTATTTCTGTTTTTATTTTTAATACATTTGCGAAAATGTCTAATAACCTGTTCGCTTTGTCATTATGGGGTATTATGTGTAGATTGATGAGGAAAAACATTAATTAAATCTTAGAATAAGGCTGTAACGTAACAAAATGTGGAAAAAGTGAAGGGGTCTGAATACTTTCCGAATGCACTGTACATACAGAGTAGGCTACTGCAAATTAACTTTACATACAGTAAAACATGGTGTAAATACATAAGGGATAATCAACGAGGGGCTATGCGTTATATGGAAAATAATGAGTGACATGGAAGGTGTGTTCCACGATGCGCTAGCAGAGTGGAACTGACCTTCCACGAAGTTGCGTTATTTTCCAGAGAACGCCTAGAGTTGTTTATCCCTTTCATACCATGGCTATAATTTAACACATTTGCTGCTAGAAATGTGTTCATTTGCTGGTAGAAATGTGTTCAACATCCACTGAAGTAGCTAGCAAGTTTACTTGATAACTACAGTTGTTGCCATGGTAACCAACCAAACAGACTTGCTAGTTTAGCTAACAGTCCTAGCTTGCCATTATGGAAATCTAGTTCAACAGTGCCAATAATGTTTTTATTTTGATTATTGCTTTTAAAAGCAGCTCAAACATAGAACATGTAAGAATTAACTATAGCCATTGAATTCTACCTTGCGTAATAGGGAAATAATGCACGCTCTAGAATGCCCTTCAAGCCAATCAGAGACAAGTATTCAACAATGCCATGGTATATAATTAAGCAATAAGGCCCGACGGGGTGTGATATATGGCCAATGTACCACGTCTAAGGGCTATTCTTACCACTTAGCTGTGGTATATTGGTCATATATCACAAACCCCTGAGGTGCCTTATTGCTATTATAAACTGGTTACTAATGTAATTAGAGCAGTAAAAATAACTGTTTTGTCATACCCGTGGTATACGGTCTGATTTACCACAGCTGTCAGCCAATCAGCATTCAGGGCTCAAACCACCCAGTTTATAACAGCATTTATACCATGGCATTGTTGAATACTTGTTTCTGATTGGCTTGAAGGGCATTCTAGAGCGTGCATTGTTGAATTTGATTTTCGTAATGGCAAGTTAGGACGGATGGTTTGGTTAGCTAAACTAGCAAGTCTGTTTGTTTGGTTACCACAGCAACTACTGTAGCTACAGTATCTAGTAAACTTGCTAGCTACTTCAGTGGATGTTGAACCCATTTCTACCGGCAAATAAACACATTTTCTTGCGGCAAATGTGTTAAATTATAGCTATGGTATAAAAGGGAAAATCAACTTGTCGTTGATTACATATTTACTCCTGCAGTTATGACTGTTACGACATACCATAATAAACACCATTTTTCCCACAGTTGCGGAGATTCAGAGAGGGCTACAGTCATTGGAGCGTGCTACAGAGCAGATTAGGAGTGCATATGCAGATATAGACCCAGACGTAGCAGGGTTGCTGAGGGAGGATGCCGTCATAGACATTCATGTGTCCTTTGATTGCAAGTGGCACATGAGAGGATTCAATTCCAACTACGGGATAGGGGTGTGCATAGACATTGCAACAGGTTTAGTGATAGACTATGAAGTATTGTCTTCATACTGCCATGCATGTGTGATGAAAAGGAAAAGTGGGGTTACTGAAGAGGAGTTCATGAAATGGAAGGAGTCACGCAGATGACTGTGCCCAAAACTTCTCAGGCTCTAGCAAAGCAATGTAGCAGGATGCAGCAAAACGTATGTGGGCCAGATCAGTCAGTCGCCACAGCTTTCATTACACAGAGATGCTTTCAGATGGTTGACAGTACTGCATACAAGGCAGTACTGCATAGAAGGAAGTTGTCACATTATATCCCTAACCAGGCATTGAGATAGGAAAACTGGAATGCATCAATCATGCCCACGAGGATGGAAACAGCCCTACGTAAACTTAGGGCTTTGCGTAGGGGGAGAGGTGTAGCGAAACTCACTGCACTGAAATGTAAGATTCTGCTAAACTGCTATTACAGGGGTGCAATTCTTGATAACCAGGGTGATGTAGAGGGCATGAAGACTGCTATCTGGGCTGGTTTCTCCATTCCATGTCAATAGACGAAACCCACGGTAGATACTCGTCATCTTGGTGTTGGCACCAGCTAGCCCAAGAAAATGGTGAGGATCCACCCAGTCACAAAAACTATGCATACATTTTTGAATCGAGAGGTTGCACAGAAAATGGTGCCTGTATAACATAGGATGTCAAATGACAACCTCAAAATATTGAAGCACGGAGGAACCCAGAATGCAAATGAATGTCTAAACTCTGTAAGATGGTGTCCTATAAAAATCATTTGTGGGCAAAAGCCGCATTAATGCAGGCGAGGCAGCCAGTATGGCAGTAGCTACATTCGACGAGGGTGCTACTGCTGTAACAAATGTGATAGACAGATTGTGGCTTGACAGCATTTTTGATGACACTGGATGCAATCAGAGAGGAGGGTGAGAGCTGATGCTGTTTCAACAGAATGTGCCAAGTGCAGTCGCAGTTCCCAGGACAGAGTCAAAAAAGTTAACAGGCTCCAGCAACAACTCAAATAGTGATTTACATATTGGGCTGGTATAGCTAATTCATCCATGAACCTGTGCAAATGTCTCTAGCCTTTTACGTGAAAATGTTTTTACAAGGTGCTGTGCGCATTTGCCGAACAGACCAGTATTTAAAATGGTATGCTCTATTGCTTAAAACTATTCTATTAGATGTGCGAGTGTATTTGTAAAAAGTGTATTCGATGTGTTAATAGTCAATTCAGAAATAACAAATTAATAAGAGATGAGTTCATGTGACATAAACAGTCATATTTATGGAAAATACATGTTAATTGCATTAACCTATCTTTTATCGGGCATTTTCAAAATGACCTGTTTCCCATGCGCCAAGTCATTTTTCTCAGCCTTCAAAGGAGGTACATTTACATTATTTCACACACTGGTTCTTATGACTTATAGCCAGACTTGTCCAGAGGCATTTTTTGATATCTCGTGGCATTTTTTCTCTCCAAAAAGTTGCCTCGGTTACACCGACAGCGTCATTACATTTTGGTACACCAGAAGTAAATTCATTTCCAATGGAACGCTGCGTTTGCCTTGCAGAATTGCGTTGCAGAGGCAGTTGCAGTGCGTTCTGTGTGGTGCATACGTATGCGAAGACGGCTTGACAGAAATGGTAGCAGAAGGTAAATGTAGAACTTTTATTGGACACATATCCAGATGAGCTGCGTAACATTTTGCGCAATGACACTGTCTGTGTGATCAAGGCGTATGCATCCGTCATACGTGTGAATAGTGGTTTTTAAATAAATCCATGAAACAACAATATTTTGATAAACTGTTCTGGGTATGTTGGACCATTGGATGTGTTATCAACAACAACAACAATATATCAAAGTCATTCTGACTTGAATCAATGTGTTGAAAAATTGATTATTGTGAAGTGCAAATGTATTGAGTTGCCTCATTTTCATATTTTAAATCAAAATGTTGTTTTACTTTTAATACAAAAATATGTTCGGTGTATATATATACTTTCAACTGGTAAAGTTTTATTCTGATATGAGTAAAGTGGAAGAATAGCCTATTAGGGTGTGGTGCCTGGTCTTAATGTGCATGATTACGGATAATCATTAATGAATAATGATGATCATACCCCCAAAATCATGAATAAAGTTAATACCGCCCCAAAAATGCAAACCTCCCCTGTTGTTGATACACTATAAGTGAATTTGTCCAAATACTTTTGACTTCTTCACATGGGGGTGAGGACTAGTGCTTTCATTTCTCAACGGTAAAACAGATATGTATGAAAATACCCTCAAATAAAAGGTGACGTTCTGTCCTTTCACCTCATATGAAACATTTAATCTCAAATCCAAAATGCTGGAGTACAGAGCCAAATTTAAAATGTTCGCTTCGCTGTCCAAATGCATAAGGACGGGAGTGTAGATAAAGTATCTTTCATCTCTCCTCTCTGAGCTGCCTACAGATTAACATATTTTCATTGCATTGTGTTGTTGTTTGGCCTACACCGTAATTACACTGTATTGACATAGATTGCTATATTTTACAAAGTCAGTTGTATTTTTTCGGGGACAGTGTGGCAACACTGAATATCTTTATCTGTTTCCAGAGTATGGGCATCTGCTTTATTGGAGAGAGGAACTTTGAGGATTTCATTCTAGAGGTATGGAATTCAAATACATATACAACATGTACTGTATCAAGTTAATTATTGAGGTACACTGGCCATAGTAATGAATAAACATGTTTGTGTGTAGTAACAATATCTGCAATGCTGTTTTTCTGTCAGTATTTAGAGCCGAAACCGGGGAACTTTGTCTCCATTGAGGATGGGAAGATCATGGGTGAACATAAAGGTGATATCCTCAGTGGTATCTTCTATATTACTGCTTATCCCACTATCCTTATAAGACTACTGCTCTTCCAATGGTAAACCTTTACATTAACGACTGGTTCTCTGCCTGTTCTTCCTCCTCTTCCTCTCAGGTTGGTTCACCCTGACACTAGGCCAAAGGGCTAGGATTGGTGGGCAGAGGGACGCATGGTTTGTTGTGGACAAAGACATCACTACTGGAGAAGTGTTTGTGGTAAGGAATGGTTTTCTACCTCTTCAATACTGTTATAGCTAATTTAGTCCTAAACAACTGGCCTAACTACAGTACAGGCTATGAGGCAGATCTCCCACCTCCTTGCTGTTATTTGCTGTTGATTCTCAATGGGATTCTGATTCTAAACTCCCTAACATCAGGGTCCGACAACCAATCACCCGGCTCTATTCAGAGACACGGTACGAACAGATCGTTTCCATTGGATAACGGAGGACCCTCCCACTGAGCTGATCCAGACTAAGATGATGGAGTGTCACTTCCGCTTCATCCACCAGATGCCTCTCAGTGAGTCACATGACACCTGGCGCAGCGGTGGCGCAGCGGTCTAAGGCACTGCATTGCGGTGCTTGAGGCGTCACTACAGACCTGGGTTCGATCCCAGGCTGTGTCACAACCGGCTGTGACCGGGAGTCCCATAGGGCGGCGCACAATTGGCCTAGCATCGTCTGGGTGAGGGGAGGGTTTGGCCGGGTGGGCTGTACTTGTCTCATCGCGCTCTAGCGACTCCTTGTGGCGGCCGGGTGCCTGCAGGCTGACTTCGGTCGTCAGTTGAACAGTGTTTCCTCCGACATATTGGTGCGGCTGACTTCTGGGTTAAGCGGGCGGGTGTTATGAAGCGCGGTTTGGCGGGTCATGTTTCGGAGGACAAATGACTCAACCTTCGCCTCTCCCGAGCCCGTTGGGGAGTTGCAGCGATGAGACAAGATCGTAATTGGATATGACTAAATTGGGGAGAAAAAGGGTGGTAAAAAAATTAAAATAACCCAATTAAAATCTAATAAACAATACCTTTACCTCCCATACGGCTTAAAAAACAGCTTTATTGGGTAAAAAATTTACACTTCAAAAGTGTTGGTAACATGTTAATAACACAGTGAGGTTGTGTCCCGTGCAGCTCAGTTGGTAGAGCATGGCGCTTGCAACGCCAGGGTTGTGGGTTCGTTTCCCACGGGGGACCAGTATATGAAATAAAATAAAAATGTATGCACTGACTAAAATGTAAATGTAAATGTTGTGTATCTCCAGCCCCTTGCACTGTGACCTTGAACATGGATGGCTCTGTGTGGATCATGCTGTCTCAGCCAATCAGAGCACTCACACCAGGACAGGTAAGCTCTCTGTTGTTTCCCACACGTAGACATGTAAGCTGCCTGTCTCACACTTTTCAGAGTTTGGGCAGTTGGTTTTGTTACTTTTTAGGGATGTTTTTTTCTCAGAAGAATTTAAACTATGAGTAAAATTTCTTTAGGCTATTTTTAAATCGATTTATTGTCATTAGGTGAGCTTTTAGGAGTAAAGCCAACCCATGTACCGTTACAGTGGTTTTAGTGAATCTGTGTGAGCTGGTGCGTTAGTGTTAGTCCCAGTGTGTTATTCCTTAAGATCCTGATTAACCAGCGAACAAAGGCCTATCATAGGCCCAACAAACGTAGCCAGCTGCTCCAGTGTGTCTCTTGTTTCCCTGACAGGGATTACTCCAGACTCTAGTCAGGGTACAAAGAGCCTTGTCCACGCTTGGATTACCCCCTTTCTTCATGCGCTATCCCATAACCCACTGCTCTGAGAAAACAATATGGCCGAGACGCGTTTGTCTTGGAGCTCTGGGCTCGAGGCCAGAGTGAGGGTAGATGAATAGAGAAGCGATAGAGAATAGTGGTGTGTGTGTACGCTCAAATGTGGAGGTTAGTTCAGAGGGACTAGGAGTCAATATTCAGCATCAATGTCTCCCACTAACATCAATTTTCTGTGCTCGTCTTATCTACCTCGACATTGAATGAATAGCCTTGCTTCAAAGCTTCCGTCAGTGTCTGCGCCTCGCTACCCTCCCTTCTAACTTCTCCTTATTCACTTCTCTCATCTCTCCCCAGTTTGCAGTGCTGTACAAGGGGGACGAGTGTCTTGGCAGTGGGAAGATCGTCCGTCTGGGCCCCACAGAGCACACACTGCAACAGGGACGAGACCGCATGAAGGAAGCCCCTGTGGCCAAGGAGAGGACTCCGGAACCATCCAGCTGAGCCTGAGAGAGACTTCCTAGAAACAGACCTAGGCTCAGGCCTATCCATTATCGATATGAACCTTACCTTCCAGACTTCAGTCACACTGCTGATGGACAAGACTACTGTACTTCCACAAGCCTTATCCCATTCTCTGAACCGCTACTGTAGAGTAGAGCACACTGATCATGCTTTTGGACCTGTCCACTCGCCAAGAAACACACACTCAAACTTCCTCTGTACTGTTGCCCTCAGTTGATACTTCTTCCTATTAGGGTACTTGTGATGTACAGTATTATTTGATAGTGTGGACTGTGTACAATCATGTACATGGTAATTCATTGTCTAATTTATTTATTTGGACAGATTATTAGAAAATGTGAAATCCATATTTTAAAAAGTATGGCTTTTGTGAAAATCCGAACAAGTAGAGTGCCTTTTCCTTTGGTGCCATTTCACCAAAACACATTTGGATTGAACTGCATTCTTTTGAACTACTGTATAAATATGCAATCTGTAATGGAGAATAACTTGAATTACAAAAAAAAATATTATTGATAAGTGGTGTCATGTTTGAGTCCCATTTCATATTATAGTGTTTTTAATAAACATAAACTTAACAATATTCTTGATAAGTGGGATGCCATTGGGTGCCTGGTCAATCAATTACATAATCTATGAATCATGTGTTGAAAAAATTGATTAATTGAAGTGCAATGTATTGATTGCCTCATTTCATATTTAAATCAAAATGTTGTTTTACTTTAATACAAAACTATGTTCGTATATATGTACTTTCAACTGAAGTTTATTCTGATATAGTCAAGTGGAAGAATAGCCTATTAGGGTGTGTGTGCCTGGTCTTATTCATGATTACGGTAATCATTCATGATATGATGACATACCCCCAAATCATGAATAAAGTTTCCTTCCCCAAAAAATCAACCTCCCTGTTGTTGTATACAAGTGAAATTTGTCCAAATATTTTGACTTTCCAATGGGTGAAGGACGAGTGCTTACATTCTCAACGGTATTTAAACAGATTTATGTATGAAAATACCCTCAAATAAAAGGTGACGTTTCTGTCCTTTCACCTCATATGAAACATTTAATCTCAAATCCAAAATGCTGGAGTACAGAGCCAAATTTAAAATGTTCGCTTCGCTGTCCAAATGCATAAGGACGGGAGTGTAGATAAAGTATCTTTCATCTCTCCTCTCTGAGCTGCCTACAGATTAACATATTTTCATTGCATTGTGTTGTTGTTTGGCCTACACCGTAATTACACTGTATTGACATAGATTGCTATATTTTACAAAGTCAGTTGTATTTTTTCGGGGACAGTGTGGCAACACTGAATATCTTTATCTGTTTCCAGAGTATGGGCATCTGCTTTATTGGAGAGAGGAACTTTGAGGATTTCATTCTAGAGGTATGGAATTCAAATACATATACAACATGTACTGTATCAAGTTAATTATTGAGGTACACTGGCCATAGTAATGAATAAACATGTTTGTGTGTAGTAACAATATCTGCAATGCTGTTTTTCTGTCAGTATTTAGAGCCGAAACCGGGGAACTTTGTCTCCATTGAGGATGGGAAGATCATGGGTGAACATAAAGGTGATATCCTCAGTGGTATCTTCTATATTACTGCTTATCCCACTATCCTTATAAGACTACTGCTCTTCCAATGGTAAACCTTTACATTAACGACTGGTTCTCTGCCTGTTCTTCCTCCTCTTCCTCTCAGGTTGGTTCACCCTGACACTAGGCCAAAGGGCTAGGATTGGTGGGCAGAGGGACGCATGGTTTGTTGTGGACAAAGACATCACTACTGGAGAAGTGTTTGTGGTAAGGAATGGTTTCTACCTCTTCAATACTGTTATAGCTAATTTAGTCCTAAACAACTGGCCTAACTACAGTACAGGCTATGAGGCAGATCTCCCACCTCCTTGCTGTTATTTGCTGTTGATTCTCAATGGGATTCTGATTCTAAACTCCCTAACATCAGGGTCCGACAACCAATCACCCGGCTCTATTCAGAGACACGGTACGAACAGATCGTTTCCATTGGATAACGGAGGACCCTCCCACTGAGCTGATCCAGACTAAGATGATGGAGTGTCACTTCCGCTTCATCCACCAGATGCCTCTCAGTGAGTCACATGACACCTGGCGCAGCGGTGGCGCAGCGGTCTAAGGCACTGCATTGCGGTGCTTGAGGCGTCACTACAGACCTGGGTTCGATCCCAGGCTGTGTCACAACCGGCTGTGACCGGGAGTCCCATAGGGCGGCGCACAATTGGCCTAGCATCGTCTGGGTGAGGGGAGGGTTTGGCCGGGTGGGCTGTACTTGTCTCATCGCGCTCTAGCGACTCCTTGTGGCGGCCGGGTGCCTGCAGGCTGACTTCGGTCGTCAGTTGAACAGTGTTTCCTCCGACATATTGGTGCGGCTGACTTCTGGGTTAAGCGGGCGGGTGTTATGAAGCGCGGTTTGGCGGGTCATGTTTCGGAGGACAAATGACTCAACCTTCGCCTCTCCCGAGCCCGTTGGGGAGTTGCAGCGATGAGACAAGATCGTAATTGGATATGACTAAATTGGGGAGAAAAAGGGTGGTAAAAAAATTAAAATAACCCAATTAAAATCTAATAAACAATACCTTTACCTCCCATACGGCTTAAAAAACAGCTTTATTGGGTAAAAAATTTACACTTCAAAAGTGTTGGTAACATGTTAATAACACAGTGAGGTTGTGTCCCGTGCAGCTCAGTTGGTAGAGCATGGCGCTTGCAACGCCAGGGTTGTGGGTTCGTTTCCCACGGGGGACCAGTATATGAAATAAAATAAAAATGTATGCACTGACTAAAATGTAAATGTAAATGTTGTGTATCTCCAGCCCCTTGCACTGTGACCTTGAACATGGATGGCTCTGTGTGGATCATGCTGTCTCAGCCAATCAGAGCACTCACACCAGGACAGGTAAGCTCTCTGTTGTTTCCCACACGTAGACATGTAAGCTGCCTGTCTCACACTTTTCAGAGTTTGGGCAGTTGGTTTTGTTACTTTTTAGGGATGTTTTTTTCTCAGAAGAATTTAAACTATGAGTAAAATTTCTTTAGGCTATTTTTAAATCGATTTATTGTCATTAGGTGAGCTTTTAGGAGTAAAGCCAACCCATGTACCGTTACAGTGGTTTTAGTGAATCTGTGTGAGCTGGTGCGTTAGTGTTAGTCCCAGTGTGTTATTCCTTAAGATCCTGATTAACCAGCGAACAAAGGCCTATCATAGGCCCAACAAACGTAGCCAGCTGCTCCAGTGTGTCTCTTGTTTCCCTGACAGGGATTACTCCAGACTCTAGTCAGGGTACAAAGAGCCTTGTCCACGCTTGGATTACCCCCTTTCTTCATGCGCTATCCCATAACCCACTGCTCTGAGAAAACAATATGGCCGAGACGCGTTTGTCTTGGAGCTCTGGGCTCGAGGCCAGAGTGAGGGTAGATGAATAGAGAAGCGATAGAGAATAGTGGTGTGTGTGTACGCTCAAATGTGGAGGTTAGTTCAGAGGGACTAGGAGTCAATATTCAGCATCAATGTCTCCCACTAACATCAATTTTCTGTGCTCGTCTTATCTACCTCGACATTGAATGAATAGCCTTGCTTCAAAGCTTCCGTCAGTGTCTGCGCCTCGCTACCCTCCCTTCTAACTTCTCCTTATTCACTTCTCTCATCTCTCCCCAGTTTGCAGTGCTGTACAAGGGGGACGAGTGTCTTGGCAGTGGGAAGATCGTCCGTCTGGGCCCCACAGAGCACACACTGCAACAGGGACGAGACCGCATGAAGGAAGCCCCTGTGGCCAAGGAGAGGACTCCGGAACCATCCAGCTGAGCCTGAGAGAGACTTCCTAGAAACAGACCTAGGCTCAGGCCTATCCATTATCGATATGAACCTTACCTTCCAGACTTCAGTCACACTGCTGATGGACAAGACTACTGTACTTCCACAAGCCTTATCCCATTCTCTGAACCGCTACTGTAGAGTAGAGCACACTGATCATGCTTTTGGACCTGTCCACTCGCCAAGAAACACACACTCAAACTTCCTCTGTACTGTTGCCCTCAGTTGATACTTCTTCCTATTAGGGTACTTGTGATGTACAGTATTATTTGATAGTGTGGACTGTGTACAATCATGTACATGGTAATTCATTGTCTAATTTATTTATTTGGACAGATTATTAGAAAATGTGAAATCCATATTTTAAAAAGTATGGCTTTTGTGAAAATCCGAACAAGTAGAGTGCCTTTTCCTTTGGTGCCATTTCACCAAAACACATTTTGGATTGAACTGCATTCTTTTGAACTACTGTATAAAATATGCAATCTGTAAATGGAGAATAACTTGAATTCAGAAATGAAGAGTAAGTTATTTAAATGTAGGATTGTTTTAAATTATAAGTGATTTCTTGCATTTTTGTGGCCAGCAGAAAACCTCACTGAAGAAATCCAGCTAAAGTATGTGATTCACTTTACCTCTCTGTAGCTACTGTTTCACGTCCTCTTCCACTCTCGCCACAAGGGGGCGAACACACACAAGTTATACTGAGCCTTCTATACTTTGCCTATGCACTGTTTCTGGTGGTTAAAATAACAGTATTTATGTTATACGGGGTGGAATGTACAGGTGACTGCCAAAATAATGGAAACACTGGAGTAAATGAGGGATACAGAGTATATTGAAAGCAGGTGCTTCCACACAGGTGTGGTTCCGGAGTTAATAAAGCAATTAACTTCCCATGTCCCGTGTAGCTCAGTTGGTAGAGAATGGTGCTTGCAACGCCAGGGTTGTGGGTTCGATTCCCACGGGGGGCCAGTATGAGAAGAAAAAAAAAATGCACTAACTGTAAGTCGCTCTGGATAAGAGCGTCTGCTAAATGACTAAAATTGTAAATCATGCTTAGTGTGTATAAAATGCTGGGCACACAATTATTTTGGCTGCCATGACAATGCCCTCATCCACAGGGCACGAGTAATCACAATGGTTTGATGAGCATGAAAGTGATGTAAACCATACGCCATGGCCGTCACCAGATCTCAACCCAATTGAACACTTATGGGAGATTATGCAGTGGTGCCTGATACAGCGTTTTCCACCACCATCAACAAAACACCAATTTATGGAATTTCTTGTGGAAGAATGGTGTTGCATCCCTCCGATAGAGTTCCAGACACGTAGAATCTATGCCAAGGTTCATTGAAGCAGTTCTGGCTTGTCCAACGCCCTATTAGGACACTTTATGTTGGTATTTTCTTTATTTTGGCAGTTACCTGTACCTGTTCAATGGCTTTGCAGATTATGCCTTTTTATTTAGTGCCATGCATACCTTCATTTTCAACGGTGATGTGATTTCCATGGGAAATAAACCTACAATTCGCCCAAACCTTTGAATGAATGAAAGCACCATACATTACAAACAGGTAACGTTAAGGGTCACTTTTTCGTTAAATAAGGCTACATTGATATGGATACAAACATAAATGGTAGGATGCAGGAAGCTATGGATTATAATCTAATTTAAAATGGATGATCTGGAGAGTTATGTATATTCTGAAAATAGGTCATTCATAAACTGACCATAATATGTGTATATAATTCAACCCCATAATACAAATCCAAGCACATGGGCCAAGTCTAAATCAATAAATTATTGTAAACAATTTATTCAGAATGGATATGCAAATGATGAGCTCTAGACTACTAACCATGACAATAGCGACTCATTGACCAAATAGCTTAACCTTTTCCAATAGATAATTGTGTGCTAATTTTCTTGGAACCGTGGCCAGACTCATCTCTAACAAGGTACCATTTTCCCAGGTGACAAACTCAATACACAACTTTAATCTCAAAACATCAGAGAAAGTCTCAATGATACCAAACTTGTTTTATAACAAAGTTCTAGTGGCCCTCAAACACACAATGCGCGTGTTAACAAGCACTCTGTATTGTTATAACAATTGTCCGAATGCGCAGTCGTCAACAGCTCAGGACACTTCCGAATCTCCATGAGAAAGCCCCCTGCGAAAGTGTCCCGGTGAGCCGAACACCGCAGGTTTATGTTAATCGACTCTCAGAGGAGGGGAGCCGCGGAGCCATTTTGTAGTCATTTAGAAATTGCCCGTGGAATAATGTGACTGCGCTCCGTGGATACTATGGATATAAGTGTCTTTTCCACTTTAAAACTTCACCATGAAGGATAAAGGAAAAAGGGAGATGGATAGTTAATGTTTTTGTGGAGGTGTTTCGATGAAGTTGAATGGGATTTGTTGGAGTTTTAAGCCATGGAATTACCGATGTATTGGATTTGGGTTTGTGTTCTATTCAATGTGCCCATGCTAGGATGTTTCGAGCTACACCTTTCGGAGACGTTACAAACTGGGACCGTTTTGGCAAATTTGTCCCTGGGGCCCGGTTGGATTTACAAAATCGACAGGACTTTAACTCCTAAATACATTCAGAACTTTTTACAAGTGGAATGGCAAGAAGGAGCTCTCCGTATGTACGGAAAAGTGGATTGTGTGCGCTTATTGAGGAACCCGGTGCCTGTCTATATCAGGATAGGGTCGTTGACGTCAGAAAATTTTGTTTTGACACATTTCAATACATTTGTACACGGACAGGACTGTTTTATCAAATACAAGAGAAAGAGCACAATAGGTAAGCCCGACATTCACATCAATTACCTTTCCAAACTGGAAGCAACTTCCTGCTTATCCGCAGGTCATTTGCTTGTGAATGTAACAGAACTTTTGCCTGCCTTTACGCGAAATACCAATTTTTCTGCCTCATGCACTACTGGGAAAGACTTGAGAGCAGTTTTTAAACATGGCAATCTATTGCTGGACGACGACTACTGTTTGGGGCACGGAGAGCTGAGCGAGGTGCATTTGCATTGTACACTGCGTGCTCTGAGTGACCAGCGCGTCCGCGTCTCGGTGAGCGCGAGGTTGCGGTTGGTGACAGTGGTTGAGATTGTGCCTGGCAAATGGAACAACCGAAAACGGAGAAATGTGAACACACCTCCCCAGTTTCAGCTCCCCAACTACCAGGTGTCTGTTCCCGAGAATGAACCATCAGGGACCCGCGTCATCACACTAAAGGCCACTGATCCTGATGATGGAGAGGCCGGTAGAATAGAGTATGGAATGGAGGCCCTCTTTGACAGCAGATCCAACAATTTTTTGTAATAAACCCTCAGACAGGTGCTATTACAACAGTGCAGCCTTTAGATAGGGAGGTCAAAGACACACACGTCTTCAAAGTAATGGTAACAGACAACGGCTCCCCACGGCGTTCAGCCACGTCTTACCTCACAGTGACGGTCAGCGACACCAACGACCACGGGCCGGTGTTCGAGCAGACTGAATACCGGGTAACCATACGGGAGAATGTAGAGGTGGGCTTTGAGGTCATGACCATAAGGGCCACAGACGGGGACGCACCCTCCAACGCCAATATGGTCTATAAAATAGTCAACAGCGACGGAGTGAACGCTGGTTTTGAGATCGACTCACGCCATGGGCTGGTGAGGATCAGAGAGCGGCCCGATAGAGAGACCATGTCCCAGTACCAGCTGATCGTGGAAGCCAACGACCAGGGGAAAGACCCTGAACCCCGGAGCGCCACGGCCACCGTCAACATCTCTGTAGAGGATGAGAACGACAACTACCCCCAGTTCAGTGAGAAACGTTACGTGGTCCAAATCCCTGAGAACGTGGCCGTCAACTCTAAAGTCATTCAAGTCGAGGCCACGGACAAAGACGAGGGAAACAACGCTAAGGTCCACTACAGCATCATCAGTGGCAACGTAAAGGGACAGTTCTACATCCACTCTCCCACTGGGGTCATCGATGTCATTAATCCCCTGGATTACGAGATGATTAGGGAGTATAATTTACGGATTAAAGCTCAGGATGGCGGCAGGCCTCCGTTGATCAACGGGACTGGGATGGTGGTGGTCCAGGTGGTTGACGTAAATGATAACGCTCCTATGTTCGTCAGCACGCCGTTCCAAGCCACTGTGCTCGAGAATGTGGCCATTGGCTACTCAGTAATCCACATCCAGGCTATAGACGCTGATTCTGGGGATAACGCCCGTCTGGAGTACTGTCTCACCGACACCTCCCTGGTTTCCCCTTCACCATCAACAACAGCACTGGGTGGATCACGGTCGCCGTGGAGCTCGACAGGGAAACCACTGAGTTCTATACCTTCGGCATGGAAGCGAGGGATTGTGGGATACCTGTGATGTCATCCTCGGCCAGCGTGAGCATCACGGTCCTAGATGTGAACGACAACATCCCGACCTTCACAGAGAAGGTGTATTCTCTAAAGATTAATGAGGATGCTGTGGTGGGGACCAGTGTGTTGACAGTGACAGCCGTTGACAGGGATGTAAATAGCGTCGTAACCTATCAGATCTCTAGCGGAAACACCAGGAACCGTTTCGCCATCACCAGTCAGAGTGGAGGCGGGCTCATCACCTTGGCGTTACCCTTAGACTACAAACAGGAGCGCCAGTACATCCTGACAGTGACGGCTTCGGACGGCACGCGTTATGACATGGCACAGGTGTTCATCAACGTCACGGACGCCAATACGCACCGTCCCGTGTTCCAGAGCGCCAACTACCAGGTGATGATTAGCGAGGACCGGCCCGTGGGGTCCACCGTGGTCGTCATTAGCGCCACTGACGAAGACACGGGTGAGAACGCTCGCATCACGTACATCATGGAGGACAACGTACCCCAGTTTAAGATCGACCCCGACACAGGCGCCATCACCACCCAGATGGAGATAGACTACGAGGACCAGGCGTCGTACACGCTAGCCATAATCGCCAGGGACAGCGGCATTCCTCAGAAGTCCGATACAACCTATGTGGAGATAATAATCCTGGATGCCAACGACAACACACCTCAGTTCCAACGGGACATGTATCAGGGGACTGTATTCGAGGACGCACCCGTTTACACCAGTGTGCTCCAGATATCTGCCTCCGACAGGGACTCCGGGTCCAACGGTAGGCTGAGCTACACCTTCCAGGGTGGAGATGACGGGGAGGGGGACTTCTTCATCGAGCCCTACTCTGGCATCATCAGAACAGCCAGGAAGCTAGACAGAGAGAACGTGCCTGTGTATACCCTGAAGGCCTTCGCTGTGGACAAGGGGATTCCTCCTCTCAAAGCAGCGGTGGACATCCAGGTGTCGGTGCTGGATATTAACGACAATGCACCCGTGTTCGAGAAGGACGAACTGTTTATCTACGTAGAGGAGAACAGTCCCGTCGGTTCCGTTGTGGCTCGGATCAGCGCCACCGACCCAGATGAAGGGAACCAACGCTCAGATCATGTACCAGATCGTCGAGGGGAACATCCCTGAGGTCTTTAAGCTGGACATCTTCAAAGGCGACCTCACCGCCCTTACGGACCTCGACTACGAGTCCAGAACCGAGTACGTCATTGTGGTCCAGGCCACGTCCGCTCCCCTCGTCAGCCGGGCCACAGTCCACATCCGTTTAGTCGACATCAATGACAACGACCCGGTTCTGCAGAACTTTGAGATTATCTTCAACAACTATGTGACCAACAAGTCCAATAGTTTCCCCTCAGGGATCATAGGGAAGGTGCCTGCCCATGACCCGGACGTGTCGGATAAACTCCACTACAGCTTTGAGTCGGGGAATGAGCTGAACCTACTGGTGCTGAATGCAGACACAGGGGAACTAAAGCTCAGCAGAGACCTGGATAACAACAGACCTCTAGAGGCCCCCATGACTGTCTCTGTCTCCGGTAAGAGCACCTAAAATGTATAAATGCAAATGGCTGATCCGCTTATTACCATGTCTTATTATTATTAATACCTGTAATTACCTGTCTTATTACCTAAAGAAAACGCCTTGTTCATAAATCATATTCTTCTGGCCTTGTATTTAGAGGTTTAAAATAGGCCTAGTTTCATGCTGGCAGAGTTGAATGAGTAAGCAAAGGACTTTATTCAAGATGGATATCTCAGCGGTGATTTTCATGGTCTGGTATGACCGAGAGTTGAATTAAATGAAGCAAAGAAGCATTTGAAAGTAAGCTATTTTGGTTTTCCACTCTTTCCAATCACCTGAAATAGTTTGCTGCTTGCAGAGTGGAATAAGTGTAAGAAATATATGTGAGATAGATAATAGATATCACAGTTGTAATATCATATTTATCGTCTGGAACTGTGTGTAGTTGACTGCGTGTTCTATTGAAGCGACGCGGAGCGGTAGGTGGTAGGATCTGGTTCTACCGCTTTACGCTGTTTGTGTGATACTGTATTGTGGTGGTCAGTGGTTGCCTGGGTTCATAAAATGTGCTATTATACCAGGTGCCCTTATTTTTTAACCAATGTTGTTATTTTTTCACTGCAGAAATGCGGTTTGCACATATCAACATCATAGCACGCGAGACACCTTCTTCAAAGAACTCACCTTACATGAGAACAGCTTAAGTTGGCACTTTTTTCACTTAGGTTAGCAGGAATGGTTAAGTGTGATGATCAAAACTGCTACAATGTCTGTCTCACGCATTCAGTCACTGATATAGTTCTCCGTGCTTTACATAGCCTTAGTCAGCAGTTCGTGCTGGGGGATTTTGCTGCAATTTCGGTTAAAACGAGGAGTGACTTGTTGCTGATTGTGTTGTACAGCCCATACAGTTATCTGCATTCGTCGGTACCTCATGCAGAAAGAATTTGTGTGAAAGATGTCCTCTTATACAGCAGTAGACTTTGTTCTTTTGAGTTAAAGATTACACCAATGCAAACACCCATAGCTCACACCCTCACAGAGACACTGTAGTAGAGGTTATTTCAACTGTAATATAGAGCATGGATGTTATACAGGTCTTCTTATTGACTTGTTTCAGGCAGTAAGTGGGAGAGAGGCATCCTATCCCCATGAGAGAATGCTGTCATATTGACAGCTGTTTGTCTCTCTGTGAAGGCTTTTCTTTCAATTCGCATCAAGTTCCCGATATGGCAAACTGCCTAGCACCTTAAGTCTCTCTCTCTCTCTCTCTCTCTCTCTCTCTCTCTCTCTCTCCTCTCTCTCTCTATCTCCTCTATCTATCTTCTCTCTCCTCTCTCTTCTCTCTCTCTCTCTCTACTCTCTCTCCTCCTCTCCCTCTCATCCCCTCTCTCTCTCTCTCTCTCTCTCTCTCTCTCTCTCTCTCTCTCTCACTCTCATTCCCTCTCTTTCTATTTACCAAGAATGAAACCTCTCTAAGCCTTTCCTTCTCAACCTCTCTCATAATTAGTTATCTCAATGACTTGTCTTTTTCTGTGTAACAAACGACAGTCTGGCCCTATGAGTGTCCAGAGGCTCGTGGTCACTAGTGGACCTTCTGAAGGGGCAGCTAGCCCCTTGTGTCTTGCTTTCACATTCGCCAATAACAATTTGGACTATTGAGGTCTCCTTGACAATGCTGACCCCCGGCTGTCCCTCGAGGGGCACCCCTGCCCCCCTCCATCAGACCATCAGAATAATGTGTTTTACACACACACACACACACACACACACACACACACACACACACACACACACACACACACACACACACACACACACACACACACACACACACACACACACACACACACACACACACAAACAAACACTCACACACACACACTCTCACACACACACACACACACACACACACACATTCCAACCCCCAACCTCCCTCCTCACTACTCCAGACACACCCTGATGTCAAATGTTAGGTAACCATTAACACTGGTACTCTGACCTCTCAACCCCAGGCCCAGGGGAGAGGAAGGGCCCCTATAGGGACAACAGGAGACCAGACTGAGATGGACCTCTACAGCCTGCCACTGGCTCTCTTTACTAATGAAACACCAGCCCTTCTCTCTCTTTCTCTGTGAGATAGTGACATGGCTCAAATTCATTCAGAGCTCTTTGGAAGATTAGGCCCAATATTAGGGCCTATGAGAAAGGAAACAAATGTTTGTTCCAAAAAACAATTATATTATTAGTTAAGTCTGGGCATAGTAGTGGTGGCTACTGATATGTGAAATTGAACATTGTTTGAATTAGATGTCTCTTTCTGTCTATTCACCCATTCAAACTAAGCTCTGAAAACCTGTTTAAATTCACTAATTGTATTTCTCAGCCTGAAACGTGGTAGGAACAGGTGTTTTATTCTACCCACAGAAAGGCATTGAAATTGTTTATCTATCCCTCCTGAAAGGCCAGATGTACTCCCTGCCTGTTAGATATCCCCCAGATAACGCAGGTTAACATTCTAGTCACAACACCACTCTGTCTCTCCCATTAGAACAACACCGATGAGGAATGGTAGGGGCTGAGTGTTCCCACTGTAATACAATATCTCTTATCTGACATTCAACAAGCTTTTCCCTCTGAACTTAGCTCTCTCGTTTTATTCACCGTAGTCTTTTTAAAAGAAGAGCCATTGACTTGACTATCGAATGTATCTATCTCCTCAGGCTTCTATCTAGATACCTAAGTCTTTCTCAGGCCCAGCATATGGAGTTCTGTCTGTGTGATATAAGCTGTCTGTTTGTGTGGCCCTCTGGGCATAATAGAGACGAGGGATGGATAGTGTTACATTACTCTTCTGTAGGCTGACTTTGTGAGATGTACCTTAATGATTTGGAGTGGTTGGTGCTAAATCATCATTTCCACTTGGTCTCTCTCTCTCTTTCTTCTTTTGGAGGGAGGGAGGGATGAAGGGAGGGAGAGCTTGCAGTGTGCCGCTACACGCACACACTCCTTCGTTCCCCCCTAGGGGCCTTTAGCTAGCGTCTCCTATAGGACTGGTTTGGCCCTCGACCCCACTCTGTAGGAGCCACATAGTTGGGCTTTTGAAGATTTCTCTTCCCTCCATATCCCTCTTTCTCTCTCCCAGTCTCATTTTCTCTCCCTCTGACGCTCTCTTTCTCTCTCTTTCTCTCCCTCCCATCTCTCTCTTTCTCTGAAGTTTATTTCCATAGCACCCAGAGGAGGTTTACCATTTCATGTAAATCCCATAATCAGAATTCTGCAGGAATCTAAGAGGTTAATTTGATTTACATGAGGTCTCTACTGCAGCAGCCTGAATAAGATAATACATAGAGATGTATATTAGGTGCTGAATACATCAAATCAAATCAAATCAAATTGTATTGGCCACATGCGCCGAATACAACAGGTGCAGACATTACAGTGAAATGCTTACTTACAGCCCTTAACCAACAGTGCATTTATTTTTAACAAAAAAAGTAAAAATAAAACAACAACAAAAAAAGGTGTTGAGAAAAAAAGAGCAGAAGTAAAATAAAATAACAGTAGGGAGGCTATATATACAGGGGGGTACCGGTGCAGAGTCAATGTGCGGGGGCACCGGCTAGTTGAGGTAGTTGAAGTAATATGTACATGTGGGTAGAGTTAAAGTGACTATGCATAAATCATTAACAGAGTAGCAGCAGCGTAAAAGGATGGGGTGGAGGTTCGCTAAAGGAAAGGACTAAAGTAAGGAAATGTGTGTGTGTGTGTGTGTGTGTGGGAAAGAGGAGAGTGTGCCCCCTGTCCAGCTGTGCCAGTGTGTCTTCCAGCCCTGCCTGTCACAATACTACCACTGCTGCCACTGACTACACTCAACCAGCTGCAACAGAGAGGGAGGCGAGAGGGTGTTAGCGGTGTGGTGGGGCTCCTTCCTGTGTCTACAAACAACCTCTGACCCCTAACTCTGATGGATGTCCTAACAATGTCCGCAGAGGCTCATAGAGATGAATCACTACCTATACAGGTCCTGCCTAGAGGAGCATTGGCCTGATCCCAGATCTGTTTGTGCTGTATTGCCAACTCCTATGGAAATTGTGTCCATAAGTGTTGGCTATACAGCACAAACCGATCTTGGACCAGGCTAGAGGAACATGCCTTTAGTTTGGAATGAAGATAGACACATTATAGATTGGATCTGTGGGTTCGGAGATTGATGGATTTGTTTACATTTCATGTGATGTAAGTCATCCTCTATTCATAGACTAGATTTTGTTTACATGTTTATGCGCATGATGCTATGGTATATTATTCTTGGCACTGAAAGCGACTGATATTAGCAAGCAACTCCCTGGTCATTCCTAAGACATTACAACTTCCTCTCTCTCTCTCTCTCTCTCTCTCTCTCTCTCTCTCTCTCTCTCTCTCTCTCCCTCTCTAAGGATTGCCCTCATTGCCAGTCAACAGAGTTTGTTGGTTACCAGGCTGCTGGTTTGGAGGCTATATCTGTCCTTGGTGTCTATAGAAACTGTTATTAGATTACAGAAACAGTCTGGGTCTCACACACACAGCACACACGCACATTGCTCTGAAACTCGCAGCCTTTCAACAAAACACCAGGCTATACCTAGAATCCCTACAGCAACCAAGAGAAGAAATAAAGCTCCCCATAACTCAAGTCGGAACCAAGCCTAGAGTATTTCAATCCTCGTATTTCATCGCTACAATATTACATTTGATAAACTTAAACAGAACCAAACTAGTACAATGCATTCGGAAAGTATTCAGACCCCTTTTCCCACATTTTGTTACATTAGTCCCCTGTAGCTCAGTTGGTAGAGCATGGCGCTTGCAACGCCAGGGTTGTGGATTCGTTTCCCACGGGGGGCCAGTATGAAAATGTATGCACTCACTAACTGTAAGTCGCTCTGGATAAGAGCGTCTGCTAAATGATCAAATGTAAATGTAATTACAGCCTTATTCTAAAATTGATTAAATAGTTCCTTTCCTCATCAATCTACACACAATAACCCATAATGACAAAGCAAAATCAGGTTTTTAGAAATGTTTGCAAATGTATAAACCCCCCCTCCCGGAAATATCACATTTACATAAGTATTCAGACCCTTTACTCAGTAGTTTGTTGAAGCACCTTTGGCATCGATTACAGCCTCGAGTCTACTTGGGTATGACGCTACAAGCTTGGCACACCTGTATTTAGGGAGTTTCTCCCATTCTTCTCTGCAGATCCGCTCAAGCTCTGTCAGGTTGGATGGGCAGCGTCGCTGCACAGCTGTTTTCAGGTCTCTCCAGAGATGTTTGATCAGGTTCAAGTCCGGGCTCTGGCTGGGCCACACAAGGACATTCAGAGCCAGTCCTGCATTGTCTTGGCTGTGTGCTTAGGGTCGTTGTCCTGTTGGAAGGTGAACATTCGCCCCAGTCTGAGGTCCTGAGCACTCTGGAGCAGGTTTTCATCAAGGATCTTTCAGTACTTTGCTCCGTTCATCTTTCCCTCGATCCTGACTAGTCTCGCAGTCCATGCCGCTGCCACCACCATGCTTCACCGTAGGGATGGTGCCAGGTTTCCTCCAGACGTGACGCTTGGCATTCAGGCCAAAGAGTTCAATCTTGGTTTCATCAGAGCAGAGAATCTTGTTTCTCATGGTCTGTCCTTTAGGTGCCTTTTGGCAAACTCCAAGCGGCCTGTCATGTGCCTTTTACTGAGGAGTGGCTTCCGTCTGGCCACTCTACCATAAAGGCCTGATTGGTGGAGTGCTGCAGAGATGGTTGTCCTTCTGGAAGGTTCTCCCACCTCCACAGAGGAACTCTAGAGCTCTGTCAGAGTGACCATCGGGTTCTTGGTCACGTCCTTGACCAAGGCCCTTCTCCCCCGATTGCTCAGTTTTGCCAGGCGGCCAGCTCTAGGAAGAGTCTTGGTGGTTCGAAACTTCTTCCATTTAAGAATGATGGAGGCCACTGTGTTCTTGGGGACCTTCAATGCTGCAGACATTTCTTGGTACCCTTCCCCAGATCTGTGCCTCGACACAATCCTGTCTCTGCACTCTACGGACAATTCCTTCAACCTCATGGCTTGGTTTTTGCTTTGACATGCACTGTCAACTGTGGGACCATATATAGACAGGTGTGTGCCTTTCCAAATCATGTCCAATCAATTGAATTTACCACAGATTGACTCCAATCAAGTGTTAGAACCATCTCAAGGATGATCAATAAAAACAGGATGCACCTGAGCTCAATTTCGAGTCTCAAATCAAAGAGTCTGAATACTTATGTAAATAAGGTATTTCTGTTTTTTATTTTTTAATAAATTAGCTAACATTTCTAAAAACCTGTTTTCGCTTTGTCATTATGGGGTATTGTGTATAGATTGATGAGGATTTATTTAATTTGATCAATTTTAGAATAAGGCTGTAACGTAACAAAATGTGGAAAAAGTCAAGGGGTCTGAATACTTTCCGAATGCATTGACAGCTTCTGAGAATAAATTAAATGTATTTATTTGTATATTGCTTTAAAAACAATCTGGTACTACATTTATATTGCGTTTCTTCTCTTGGTTCACATGTAATGTAGCCTAGCTAAGTTGGTTTGTTCAATACATTTCAACACTCTACAAAGCAAGGGCAGAGACTGTCATGGCCCAGGATAGCTAGCCTCTGATTCTCCTGTAGAGTTGTCTATGACTTTAGGCTTGACCCCACCCCAGCCTTCTCTGTTCTCCTACAACAGAAGAGACAGAGGGAGAGAGAGAAGAGAGGACTGTGAATCGTGAACATCAATTAAGCTGAAATAACAGTCTGAACTGGGTAAGCCGGGTCTCTCTCCCTGTTCAATGAGTGGGAAAGGAATCTGATTCATGTTTAATCTTGCACACTCACTCACTCGGGTGGGTGGTGTGTGTGTGTGTGTGTCGGGCAGTGGTGGAAAAAGTACCCAATCGTCATACTTGAGTAAAAGTAAGATACGTTAATAGAAAATTACTCAAGTAAAAGTGAAAGTCACCCAGTAAAATACTACTTGAGTAAAAGTCTAAAAGTATTTGGTTTT